TTTGGATTCCAAAAAAATCTGTATTGCATGAGCAGCAAAGGGAGTGTAATTTTTGCTACGCGGAGAGGGCATTTGTCATGCGGAATAGGCATCGCGAGGCCCTCCAAAAATCTGTGATGCTAGGGCATGCATCACTGACATCATGGCCCAGGTAAAACATGCATGACAAGTCTAAGAATCTTCCAGACCCAGACATTTTTACACTTGATATAGCGTATGACGATCCGGACTTCACTCTCCGCACCGAAGATGGACCGAATAACCAACATCTAGCGGAACTCAAGAATCCGGACAAGCAAGAGGCGCTGCTGAGGGCATTGAAGTTACAGTTCCCTGACAACGCGGCTATACAGGACTTGCAAAACGGAGCGGGTAATCTCGGAAAGGTGGACGACCAGGCTGGGTTCGACTGGAAGGAAGTGGACGTGCATCAGCTCAAACACGACTTCAAGCATGAGTTCGCGAATGTGCTGGACAGGAACGCTGACGGGCAATTAACCTGGACCGAGATGTGCATCACGGGCAAGCGCCACAGTGGCTTTGGAGCCGCGGCCTGCGACGACGACCAGATATCCTGGTCCGAGTGGCCGCTGTCGGACGAAAGTTGGCACCAGATGACCACTGCATCATCGGGGACGACCGGAGGTGCATCGACTCACGCCGTCCTGACGAAGGCACAATTCGACAACCTAGAACTGGCCACCCACGACCTCGTGAACCACGACGAGCAAGAGACCACACCCCCAGGGGAGTTGAAGATGACGGGGATCGCGAGCGAGCAGGACTGGATGAGGGATGATTATGTTGACCCAGCAGCTCACTCGGGCAAAAATCCTGTTCCACATGAGATGCGAACGTTCCTCGACAAGATGACGGAGACAGGTCGGTCGACACACCATCGCGGCCTCAACGGCGTGGAAACGAAGGCCGTGATCGCCTCGCTCGTCGAGCAGGACCCCAGCTTGGTGGACAAGTGGAACCAAGGCTCTCACCCAGTGAACGTGCTGAGAGACAGCAACCTGAGGCTGACGGACGACATGGTGAGCAAGATCGATTGGAGCAGAATCAGCTTCGATGAGACCAGCAACTTTTACGACGACGTGCAACGCGCCGAACCGCTGCCCGTCGCGGAGGAAACGGACTTGATTAATGACTTGAAGTTAATGATCGGCGGGGCTCAACAACATGGCATTTTCAATGGTGTCCAAGATACCCTGTTCACTCCACAGACCAATTTGCGGGTGGATGGAAATGGTCGTCTCCCGGCCGACATGATTGACGAGAATCATGTGCAGGCCTGGAAGACCCTTCTGCGGAACATTGAGAACGTCCCAGGCAACCCGACCTTTCCCGGTGACACCAACAAGGAGGAGTTGATTGCCCGCGTCGACCACTTGATAAAAGCCCACGCGCCCCTGGACGCGAACGGGGGCGGGTACGCAAACCACTGGCTGGCCGCGTTGCTGGACGACAACCTCGGTCGCGTCTCGAAGAGCGAGCTGGAAATGCTTGGCGGGTACCAACTGCAAAAATGTCTGGGTCTGGAAGAATGCAAACTTCTCATGCATGTTTTCCACACCCCTTGTGGTTTGGAATGCAGGACCTAGCATGACAGAGTCTGTGAGGTCTCTGCCATGCCTATCCTGCATGAGAAACTCCCTCCCAACTCGGTCGAAAGAGGACCGCTCTTGGCAGTCATGCAACACAGATTTTTGCATGATTTGGTTTTAGCATGACAGGTTCCAATCTTCCAGACCCAGACATTTTTGCAATTCGTAGCGGGGCGGACCACACCATACGTCCCGAGGACTGGCTATGGATCTGTCAGAGTTGAAATCGACAAAGTTGAAATAATTTGCCATGCATAAATTGCCTGGCATGAAGTGCCTCTGTTGCAGGGGTGGCAAGTGAGGCCGACTGTCAGCCTGCTTGCGGTCTGCGATAGAGCTGCTACAGTAGCATGACAAAAGGCGTCTCCCTTACCCAAACAGCATGACAAACTGGATTTCGGTTTCACCCAAATTTGTCATGCGCCACTTGGAAGCTGTGTTACAACTGGCATCCGTTTTATGCATCACAAATCATTTCAACTTTGTCGATTTCAAACCTGACGCTTCCATACTGGCACGGGCCGCAGAAGGTGTGGACCCAGCTCCTGGACACTATGGATACGAACGAGGACGGGATTCTGGATAAAGTTGAAATCGACGGCTATTTCGCAGCGACCCCGAGTGGCGGAAATACAAATAACGCCATCGAGATCGATACCCCGGCCCCTCCCCTGGTCTATCTGGAGGACCTCGCGGGGCCCAACGCACCACAGAGCGGGCTGGCGCCGGCCGCGTTGCAGGGCGTGGCGTCGCCGCAGGGTACAGAGGACTGGATGAAAAGCCCCGCGGTGCCGGTGCCACTCCAGGACATTCTGGCGAACACGCGGTCCATGAATGTGATTGAGCCGGGGGAAAAACCGCACCCGTCGTTCACGCCCTTCGAAGAGCGGGCCGCCATCCACGCGCTCGAGTACCAGCTGCACGCTGCTGCTGCAGCGTATGGGGTTTTCCAACGTTACATTCTCAGCTGTTGCATGAAATTGTAATGCAAGAGCAGCAATATGGAAAGCAAAGGGGCAAGCTTGCGAGTCTCGCATCACAAATTTGCAACAGAGTTAGATGCTGTTTAGCCCTTCGAGAATTTGTCATGCGAAGCACCTTAATCTTCTGGCGAGTTATGGGAATTTTGCATGACAAATCATGTAACAGTTGAGAATGTAACAGTTGAGAACGCCATACAGCGTCGCCGTCGCCGCTCGTCGCTGGCGTAACTGAGGACAACAAAGCATCGCTGAGGAGAATTGACCTCGGCGACCAGTTGAACCAGGACGACATCACGAAGATCAACACCCTGTTGCACGTATCGATTGCAAATATGTCTGGGTCTGGAAGACTGCAACTTGTGATGCTGCATCTGGATTCTAAAAAAACTGTGACTTTCTTTGTTGCAATTGCATGAGCAGCAATGGGAATGTAATTCTTGCTACGCCGCTGAGAGGGCATTTGTCATGCGGATCAGGCATCAAGAAGCCCTCTAATAAAAATCTGTGATGCCAGGGCATGCATCACAGACAGTATGGCTCACGCAAAACGTGCATGACAAGTCTCAGCACCTTCCAGACCCAGACACATCTGCATTCGATAGCACGTCGACCATACCGACCAGCTGCCGCCGAAGAGCACAAGTACAATTACCGGGGAGGAGCAGACTGCGGCGCTGGAAGACATGAACGCAAAATGGACCGCTGCCCTCAATCCGACCACAGCCGGATATGGCGTTCTCAAATGTTACATTCTCAACTGTTACATGAATTTGTAATGCAAGACTGGCAAAAGTGAAAGGAGGAGGATTGCGCCTTTTGCATTACAGATTTGGCGCAGATTTAGATGCTGCTTAGCCCTTCGGAGATCTGTCATGCGAAACAGCTTAATTGTGGCGATCTTGCTGGTAAATTTGCATGACAAATCATGTAACAGTTGAGAATGTAACGTTTGAGAGTCTCATACCGGATCCAACTCCTTCGCGAAAGAGTACGGGTTGCAGTGGACGTATGGGTGTGTCAGGATTGAAATCGTCAAAGTTGAAATAATTTTAGAAAGTAAAATTGGTAATGAATAAAATGCATGCCGCGACGAGGTACGTGTGTTGCAGAGCAGGAAAGTGAGGCCAATTGTAAGCCTGTAGTTTGGGGTTAGTGTTAGAGCTCGGGCTGCTAAAGTAGCATGACAAAATCACTCTTCTTTGCCTAAACAGCATGAGAAACTGGATTTAGGGATCAACTCACCCGAAACACAATGCCATCCCGTAGTAGCACAGTCTGTTTATGTCATGCGCCACTTGGAAACTGGGTTCCAACTGGCGTCCATTTTATGCATGACAAATCATTTGACCTTTGTCGCTTTCGATCCTGACAGCTCCATAGGATGGGCGCGGTGTTGGATGCGACCGCCCCCTTCGACGGCAACCCGCCCGAGGAGCCACCGCCGGCGGGCAGCATTGACTGGGAACACGGACTGAAGTATGAAGTGCAAAAGTATCGTACTCGTATAAATGCATTCCAAATTTCCTCCGCGTGAGAAATGAAATTGGTAATGCGGATATAAGAAAAAAATTTGCAATGCAAGAGTTGCATTTATACGAGTACGATACTTTTGCAGTGGATATGAAGTACCTCGCGGGCGAGGACGGGAAGGTGGGCCGCGGCGACTGGCAGGGGAGTGATGCGGACTGGGACAAGCTGCTCGACCAGGTCGACGATGATCCTCGTGACGGTTACATCACGAAAAAAGAAATGGAACCTGACACGGTTCCCCTCCTGGACCCGGACGATGAAGGGCACTTTATCACGGACGATCACGATAGCAACCCCGCAGAGGATTCAGATGGCCGCGGGGAATGGGAGGACGAGCATACTACAACAACAACGACGACACAGCAACCTTTTCCAATCGAGGTGGTGGCGGGTGGAGGCGGCGGAGTCGTCCTGGTGGGTGGCGGCGCACTCTGGCTCGGCGGCCGCGGCACGAAGCGGCGTAACCCGCCGGGACGAGGACCACCACGGCGGGATGAAAAACACGATGAAAGCGACGCGGAGGACGACAAAAATGATCGACCAGACCTCGTCCCGGAAGACCGACCCCCACCACAGCGTCCAGACCCGGTAGTTCCGAGCGACAGCATCACCGACGTCGATGTGTTGCAGCGGCAGATCCACGAACTGACGCAGCTGCAGGCACAGCGACCCGTCTCGACGGAAACAAATGTGGAAATCGCTGTCGACAAGAAAAAGAAGCTATCCAGTGTAAATAAAGTAGTATTGGTATCACAGGGGTAAATGAATCACATTACAAATGAATCACCATACGGAAAAAAAAAATTTTCCAAGTACCGCAGTGCATGGCCCGGCTCGCACGCATAAGGAAGCGCCCAATATATACAACCAAATAACCTGAGACACAGCGACGCTCCTCAGGAAGGTCGCGCCTTTCTCGATAAGGTTTGCGCTATTTGGTTGGTGGCTACGGGGGACGAACGCAATGGCCATGAGTGGACGCTGGGGCCATCGCGCCTGAATAGCTTGCAAACAACTCGGGGGAAGCATTCGCAAACCAAAATACCAAGCACAAGCCCATTGCTAAAGATAGGAAAAGCGACACCATAAAAATGAAGTGATTACACCTCCATACCGTCGGGCGTAGCGTCCCGAGGGTGTCGGATTTTCTGAAAAAAGCTCAATTTTTGCCAAAAGTTCATCTTTTTCGAAGCAAAAAAAGAGGTGTAATCACCTTGCGTTTTGTAGCTATCAATTAGCCCTATGATTCATTTGACTCCTCCCGCTTAGTATCTGCTTGAATCACCCCTGCAAAAAGCCGCGATTTTTGGCATCAAATTGATGCCCGAAGCACGTCTTTTTCGCGTCAAATCACCCTAGCAGATATCAAGTGGGTTTGGCTTTTTTTTCGTCTGAAACAGGCTGCACATCTCAAGTGATTACACCTCCACTGTTCCACTTCTGCCACTTGGTAACAGTAGAGTAGGGCAAAAGTAAGAATGCGAATAGTGCGCCAGTAGCACCATGCGGGGTAGCATTATGCGCCACGGTATGATGCTTTGGGGCTGGTCTTGGGGTATCTTCTATGGCATCTTCTGCGCACTACATCTCGCAGCCTTCTCCTTACCAAAATGCGACGCCTGGGGCTTTTGGTCGCAGCCTTCTCAAGCATTCGCCCACTGCAATCTACCGACCAGCTGTGTCTGGCGCGGGGAAAAAAGCTGCAGGCGCTACGGCAGTTGGGGACGCTCCGAATTTTTTTTTTTTTCGACCCTATGACTCTTTTGAAAGTGATTCACTTGCTCCTTTGATAATTGGCGTCGTAAGTCATTATACTTCCTGATTTTCCTACTTCCTTGCATCAACACGGCATGGCGAGTGAGTCGCTTGCCGAAGCTGTATGTGCTGGATCTATCAGCGTATACTGATTCCGTTTTGCCTATGCTTTTTTAAAAAAGTTGTCATGCGAAAATGTATAGTAGTACGGTACGGCTACGGTTACGGAAATGATACTAAAAGTACCTTGATATTTGCAATGCATAGGAACGTGCTTTGGCTGATGATGCGGTGGAGAATGACGGGTATGGCTCGGACAAAAACCGCGGAAGTAAGAAATCTAGGAGCAGGAAGTGGTCGAACAAAAAGAGAAGGAGCAGTAGAAGTGCCAGCACCTCCACGTCCGCAGCTTTTTTGCAGAAGCTGGAGGAAGCAGTAGAAACACATGCCGAGGAGGAGGTATCGAAAGGAAAAATTCCCCCTCCCCATATCAAAACGGAATTTCTGATGCTGGATTTGTGTACACAAATCAGGTTTGTGCTGCAGAGAGGCAATGCGGCCAGATCCCCGGGCTAGGTAGGGGCGTATGAGTCTAGTTGCTCAGCATGGCAAGCGGCTCACTTTTAGGGCCAACAGCATGACAAATCGCTTCCATAATGGGGCGGAAGCTTCTGCCCTTGTCTTCTTGCAAGACAAATGTGATCTGTGGCCTCAAATCAGCAACGCAAATTTTCGGAAGCATACCTTTTCGATATGGGGAGGGGGGATCTTTCTTTTTGATAGGAGCAGGAGGAGGAGGGACAGCGACAGCACGACGGCCAGAATTTTGACGAGTCGCGGAGGAGTAGTGACGTGGTTGGAAAAATTCAAATGGTACACGATGTAGTAGAAGAAGAACAGCGACAAGCGGTGGATGATCTTGTTGATCCGCATCAACAAACAAGAGAAGAGCCATCTGCTGTGGCCGTGGTCCCCCCGTCGAATACAAGAACTCTGGTCTTTTCCAATCAAGAGAAGAAAGACCAATTCGCGCACAATCCCACGCCACGGAAATATGGAGGCACAAACATCAGGCTCTTGGAAATCGAAAAAGTTCAAGTTGAAATACTTTTGCAATGCATAAAATCGACACAAACTACACCCCACCGGTTGATGAATGCGGCCAAATTGCAATTATTTCTAAGCGGCGCATACCGATAGAAAATTAGTGAAGCATCAATACCAATGCAATTTGGCATGCTTTTTGGGGCAAAGAGGACTGCTTTTACCATGCTGCATCGCAGCTCTATGATCTCTGACCCTCAACAGGCTCGCTCTCACAGTCGGCCTCTTCGTTTGCCATTCCTGCGAGAATGGGACACTGTGTCTGGCATGATCTCATGCATGGTTCAGCCGAACCTTGATGTGGATTTCGAGCCTGGCACCCCCATAAGAAAACTACCCGACTGCGAGGATCTTCGAGTGCAGCAGCCTTGAAGATGGGAGCTGCTACCCTAAGTAAAACCGTCCACCCCTTGATTGATTGTTTTTCTTGGTTGTTTGCACGGCTTCCACACGAGGACCACCCAGCATGACAATATAATGATCATTCGATTTATAGATATAGAAATTTTTATCTTCATCAGGTCCTGACCCCCAAGAAGAAGTCGCGGAGCCCAGAGAGTTCTTGATCGTAAGAACCGGAGAAGATGGAGCAAGTACGGAGGGTGGTGGTGAGCAGCAAAACGGGGCTGATCATGCTTCTGACCACTCCGGGCGGACCGTCGTAGCTCTTCGTGGAACAAGTAAGCGCACGGGGGTTTCTTCCCGCACCAGTGCTACCTCTGCTACCAAGACTAGTACGACATCAACCAGCAGCACCTCCCAGGACGAGGAGAAGCAAAAAAGCATGCTTGCACGACGTTTCAGTTTCTCGACAACTTTCATCAAGAACTACACGAGCGGCGTCTTCTCGCGCCACCAGCTCCACGTCTTGCTCCTGTTGGTTCTAGTTCCGCTGCTCGGGGTCGTGCTATTGTTTGCGGTCTACTTTGGACTCGTGAAGAAAAATCGAGTTGCAGCTGGTGTTCATCCAACATCCGGGTGGTGGTGCTGGACAAAGAAGCAGAATCGCATTGTCCCCGTTAGTGGGGACGATGTTGGTACATCAACCTCACCGGAGGTCGGGGAGGACGAGGAGGTAGTTTTCTCTCGAGGCTCGTTGGGACAACTTGCAAACTCTTCGATGAGGCCGGAGGATGCAGCTGCTCGTACGGAGCAGGTGGGCGAGCTGCAATAAACGTCTGGAACAACAAGCTGGGATGATTGATGAAGTTGTTCCGAAAATAAACGGGGACTATTTCTTGTTCTTACCAGATTCATCAAATTGAAGGTGAATTATTGCACGCTGATACACCAATGGAAATCAATGGTTATTTGTCTTACTCGTTCACATTTTACAACTAATCAAAGCTTAACTCGTTATCTTTACAGCCGGAATGTTGATTCTTCCCTAAAATTATGAAAATTAAAACCTGTACAAAAAAATCAATGTAATCGTAATACTGTATCTCTAACTTTCAAAAAGAGCACGACGTTGAAAAATAATTTTTCGAAATATGTAGATGTAACGACAAGATGCCACAAAAAACGCAGCCTTTTATTCATTGGTTCTCTGTCTTGTGAGTGAGAGTGTTATTCTTATGAGGTCCATCGAGGAACCAATCACAATCGAAATCGTGGTTATCAGGAACAATCGACTAGGATTCTTCAAATTGCATGGAGACGAGCCCCTGCTCTATAGAAATAAGTAAACGTCCGACCGACATTGCGGTTGAGGACATCTTCTTTAGAAAGAGATGAAGAACAAAAATTAATTTGCAAGCCTTGTAATAGTTTTATCGAAATTTTCAAACTTCTCACACTCTATAGCGGTACAATCAAGATAGGAACTATCCGGCCGAACGTGTTCCGGCCGAACGCTAAATACAATAGGAGAAATGCGACTTCCTTTTCAGTCGAGAACAGCACTTCTAATTTTGTAAAATTAACGTGCTGACTAAAGTATAAAGACATAATCATGAAACTGTACATAAAGACGCCAGAAGTAGGTCCCGCTCATGCTTTACTGTACAATACAAGAGCGAAAAAAAAACGACGTGCCACTAGTACTTCTTGCCTGGACGTGGAGCGCGGAGACGACGTGACCACCCGGTCATCTCAGCACTTGACAAACACGAGAACCTGCTGACAAGTATAAATTTAAATGAAAATGAGCCACCAGCTGCCGTGGAGGTGCCGACGCCGAGTGCTAGCACGACCGCACGAAAACTGTTCCGCTGCTTGTCCGTTTGATGCTATTTTCCATTTCATCGCGCACTGTCGATCGCTCGTCGTCGTCTTCGTTCCACGACCCTCGGGACGAGGGAAATGGAAATCGCATCTTCGCAAAAGTAGAAAATATCGTCATCGTCGAAGTCGTGGTATTGTAGTGTTCGTTATTTGATGTCGTCGCACAGCAAAGAGGACTTGCACGGTCGTTCTCGTTGAGATGTTCGTATCGTATGTGGAGGTCGGATTCACTACTGCAACTGTTTATATGAACATTGGTCGCGTGGGAATTTATCTATGTAAAAAGTGAATTTGGATTTGCATTTGCGGATTTTTAGTTTGTTCGTGCTTTTTTCTTTCTCTTTTCCGCCGTTGTTGACGTCATTTCCTCCGCTTGTGAAACTCAAAAGCAAAATTATGGGCGGCACCACAAGCCGCGCCGTCAATCTTTCGGCGGAATTTCATCTAAACGAGGTTGCTGCGCAGCAGGAGCACGATGCATGCCTTGGCCTGTTCGGCGGTATTAAAACGAAAAATGTAAACGAGCTAGCTACAGTCCTGGCGCCAACCTCTTCTAGAACCTCGACCACCACGACCAACTTGCTCTCAAATTTTTTTGATAAAACCTCTTTTTTCACAAGAACGACAACGACAACCACTTCATCAACCGCGCCGGGTCGTGGGGCTGCAGGGACTGCTGCTGCTGCTGCTGCGGAACGAACTACAAATAAAAAAACCTGCTTCTGCGACGGAGCGGCGCCGAATGCGTCGCTGCTGCGTCGCTACCATCTATTCATCGACACGGATCCCTGTCGCACCTGCGGAACCCAGGGTGCCGCCTACGTCCGCATCGGGGGCCGGAGCAGCGAGACGGGGTACCGACTGCTGAAGCGCGGGTTTCCCCCCGCGTCGCGGTTTGAGATGGACATCTACGCACCGGACGTGGGTCGGGTGCAGTACCTGAAGCTGGCGTCGCACACCCGGGACGCCTGGCTGCCGCGGCGAGTGTTCTTGGAGAATCCGGAGACCGGGGGTATGCTGGAGTTCCCGGCGGGCCAGCGGGTCGGGGAGCCAAACACCCCGGAACTCACGATCTACCCAGAACTCGAGGAATCCAGGAAGGACGATTAAAAATGCGGGAAACGCAGCAAAAAATGAGACTGTTGGAACCACCACTGAACGAAAGAACGAGCGACACAACGTTTACGTACAAATATGAATATCTTTTTGCAGTTCTGGAACTACCGTAGTTCCTGACCTTCTAGCGCTTCGGTTCGCTCGCTAGGCGTACGTTGCTCTTCTTGCTGGATCGATTTACATTTTTCCTTAATTTATGTTCTCTGCCTCTGCAGCAAGAAAGTTATCGTAGATCGACTTCACAATCGTGCTGCAAATCAGAGCACGGCTTTCCAGCCGTGCTCTGATCGCGATGAGGTTCTTCGGGTGTATTGACGATTGAGGGGCCCTCGTGCGTCGTAATGATCGTGGTAAAGGAGGCAGTCGCAATCGGACCAATCGTCGATGCTGTATCGCCGCTTCAATTCGTTTATGATAGTACGGCACTACGACTACACGACCACTGACAGTGACTCAATTGTCGGTAATGTTTTTTGCACCATATCCAATACGGATTCTCACCGCGATAACAAAAGCCAAGGACGAAATAAGGCGTGAAGAACTGATTTTATCAACGGCACATGATGTAGTTAGTCTCTCTTTAGACAAGTCCTTGTGCCACCATAGTTTTTTTTTGAAGAGATACGCGAACGTTGTGGTTGTGAGATTCCGGAGGCATTTTTTGGTATACGATATTAAGAACCACCACCGTTTTCACAGCAAAACGAATACGAAAACCTGTGCAATATTACCTTTGCATTTCATGACTTTCCATCCTACACCCTAGGCACAATATCAATTTATCTCAATTTCCATCAGAAACAAAGCACCATGGACAACGTCGACGAGGTTTTTGGGTCGAATTTCGACAACTTTCTGCAGAATTCCAACAACGTCAACATTGCGCCAGTAGTGGACAAACTACAAGGAGAAGGACAAGCTGGTATTACGAAAACATCAAGCATAAACCAAAGTAAAAATGGAACTACCAGTAGTATCTCTTCAGCTAGTCTACTCTCATCCTGCACAACAACTCGGAACTCTAACAAAGACTCCTCGACGTCCTCACCCGCCGCGGCGACCATCCGAAGGAATAAGCGCAGCCTGCTCCGCGGCCAGTCGTATGACATTGACATGTTTGCCACGCACAAGTCCCAGCAGACGCTGCTGGTCGAAAACGCGCGGCTGCGGCGGGAACTGGAGGAGAGTAAGCGGAGTTTCGCCGGCAAGGAAGCCTGCTTTTTGAACGAGATTCGCGCACTGCAAAAACTGTGCGGAGAGCGGTTCCGGGTTGTTACCGTGGTGGCTGAAGACAGCAGTCTCAATGGCCGGGATGAAGCAGGGGAACTGCAAGCAAATGGGAGCACGAGCACGAACACGAGGATCCTTGGCAAAGATATTAAAGCAGATGAGCCCACGTCGTCTGTGCTTGCCGGGTTGGCCGCAAACGTGGTGGCGGGGCAGCTCGCGCGGACCAGTGGCCAAACTTTGACGACGAAAACGAGGCCCAGTACTATTGACACAACCAACATGACGATGACGCCCACGCCGTTTCCTCCTGCTGTGATGACGACAGTGACACAAGAAGCTGCACATCAAAGAGCTAGCAAAACGCGCACGACCAACACAACCTTCAGCAGCAAGAACAAAACCAACAAGCCGTTTGCGTTTTTAAAGGCGAGCGGTCAATCCTCGTTCCTGTCGTCCGGCGGTGCAGCAGCACCATTATCTGGTGCACCAACAACATCTGTGGAGCAAGACATCAAGGTGCACGATATGCAGCGTGTCTTTCTCCGGCGGTTTGACCATCCTGGGTTGATGAAGAAGACGTCGTATAAAAAAGTAGTGTCTCTTCAAACACGAACCGTGCCGCATAAGTCCGAATTGGAATTTCTGGCGTCGTCCGATAACTCGGAAATCGAAATGATAAATGCGCAGGAGGACGAAAATCTGCAAAGGAGTATGACCAGTAACCAGTTTGAGTCTTGCGGCAGTTCCTCGTCTGCGCCGTCATCCTCTGCTTCTTCGTCGAAACAAACATCTTCCAATTCTGGTGATCACGTACAACTCTCGACGACGACGGAGCAAAGAGGTGGGCTGCAGGAGAGCAACGATCATCTGGTAGTAGATGAAGTTCTTGCTGTGCGCGGTACAACTCGGACGAGCCAAGATCAGGATCACTATCAAGCAAAGCAAGAATTGGATGAAGTAAACGAGGAGTTGGAAGATGACACGGAGGACTGGGCCTTTCTCGAACGCCGATTCGTGCCGTTCTCAAGAACAACAAGTGGAATGAAAAGCCGGGATAGAAATGCTACAGAGAGGACCACGACGACCGGCGGGATCGTCGTGCCAGATGCTGGTCCTGGTGCGCAAATGGTAAACCCCAAAAGCAACGCTAGAGCGACTGCTACAGCGCCAAAAAAGCCACTCGTCTTCGCCGTTTCTCCAAATAAGACGCGAGTTGTATCAAGCAGCTCGGCTCCAGCTCCTGTCGGCGGAGCGTGGTCCTCCGCAGCGCTAGTAGCCGCGACCACCACGACGGGAGAAGGTGGACAAATCCCTAGTGCAAGTGCTCAAGAAGGATCGATTATACCCAGTACGACGATAGTAATGAAAACTAACGCCAACAGAGGACAACAAGCTACCCCTGCAGCTTCAGCGGGACGTGGACCAACTCGAGCATCTTCGCTGCTAAAAACGACAATCACGAAAGGAAAATCGATTCAGAAAGCTGCTTCCGCGTTTGGGTCGTTTGCTGCAAATCGAGCTCTTGAGCGGAGAACGACAGTGCAAATCGTAGAGGAGCAGGGGCAGGAACAGCCTCCATTAAACAATACCGTCAAGAACACTGAAGAAATAGAAGATGCAGTTGGAAAATTAAGGCGGGAAAAGGTCGTCCGCGGTCGGGGTATCGTCAAGAAGTCCGCAACAGAGTCCTCGATCTACGTCCCGCATCCGGAAAGAACTTCTGTGGAACAACCGGAAGCTGAAGTAGAGCTATCATCAGCTACAGCTGCACAACTAAGGCAACGACGTCCACCTGACAAGCCGAACTACAGCACTATTAGCCGGAAAAACACAGCTACGCAAAACGCCTTGGCTCGCTTCCGCAATTCTGTGGCGGCGGTGCGGGCCGGTGCGACCACTGGTAAAAATGCGATGCAGGAGCTTTCATCGGGCAGGCAGAAGAACCTTCAGAGGAGCGGATCTATAGCTGTGAAGAATACGGCTTCTGCAGGAGCTGCGGGAGGTGTTGCTGTTGATCTTAAGGGGACTGTTGAACAACAAACGAATGCAGTAAAAACCCCCGTAGAACGGTCGCCGCAAAAATCTAGTTCAACACTTGCAGGAGCTGACTCGACTACATATTCAGCCACGACGACACCGGCCGGCGCGTCGCCACAGTTGAAACGTTCATTCTCTACCAACCTGCCTCGGCCACCAGTGGCAGGAACGAAAGCAAATGCGAGGATGCGGCATGTGGCCGGTAGTGTTTTGGACAAAATTCGAGAGCAGCGGCGGGAGAGTGCGAAGCTGGAGTAGCGCGAAGTTGCTTTCTTGCAGACTCGCCGGCAAATGAAGTTGAAGTTGAACAGGAGCTCCTGCTTGCAGTCGCAGCCCCGACATCAACTCTGCGGTACCGAACGACAAATTATCGTGGCCATGTACGAACTTTTTGCAGTAGATGATCGCGATGACGATAGATCATGCGAATATAGAAATCGGGTGTCTCTGAACTTCAACTTGCAGTTGCTGTTGCACTTCATTGTGAACTTACTTCGGATTATTTGGGGACGCGAAACAAACGTAGGGAGGAGAGACCCTAAGCGTGTTGTTCTTTGGCAAAATTCGTAGTGGTTCCACGGCACGTTCATATCATCCACGACGAAGCAAGCTGATGTAAGTGTAACCTGTCATATGGGAAGCCAAAGTTTTAGTTTTGTGTACTGTAATAGTAGGGTTGAGTGTTGGTGTTTCAAGAGGGTTGCTCCAGCGGGAATACACGCTGAGGGAAGGTGAATCACTTGCGTTAACGCAATGAATATACGAGGAAAGACAGTCCGTCGTGTCACTTCTGAGATTGAGTGACAAGCATGTAGCATGAACTTGTTGAACCAACACTAAATGCATCTTACGACACGACTAGCCTGCTCTGGGACCACATAAGTATTATTGAAGCAATACACAAGATGAAATGGCCCCCGGATAGAGACTGGTGTGCTGCCGAGAGGACAACGTGGCGTGTAGTTGCCGCGCTCCGTCCCGCGAAGATACAGTTTTTTGTGGGAAGAGACAAAAACATGCAAGGCGACTTCGAGGACGAGAGAATAAGTCGGAGATCGGTAGAACTAGCATCATGAGAGCAGCAATTACAATTGGCTCCTCGTGTTGCACATCTCGCAACTCTTCTTCTTCGTCTTGGTGCTGGGTTCATCTCATCCTCTCATTGGCAACATCACTATCTGCAGATTCGTTACCATGTCTGGATCTGGGCGAGGCAATCGCAAGGGCATGTTTGCCGCGTCGAGAAGTTCTTGTGCGCTGCGGGTCTTCTTTTCTTCCACCTATGCGATGAACAAAACAACGTTGCTCCAGCACCTTCTCTTCCTCCTCGCACTGTTATTGCCCGAACATTTTTACGTCCTCGCGGATCTTCCTCTCCACTGCTTGATCCAGGATGCGGTCGGGGACTGGACCTTTTACGTTGAGGACGGCCTTTTGCCCGACGAAGAGGATTATGCATTGCAAAAGCATCGTACTCGTATAAATGCATATACTAATTTCCTCAGCATGAGAAATAAAATTTGTCATGCGGGTTTACTTCACGAAAAATAAAAAATTTGTAATGCATGACTGCAATTACTACAAAATAAGCACGATACGTTTGCACAGGATAAGGATGAGGAGAGTCTGAGTCGTTGGTTCACCTACGCCGACGAAGAAACGGAGGAGGCGGACGACGCCGCCACCTCCGTAGAAGCTGAATCAACCGACCTCCGTGATTTGAATCTGCTGTACCCCATTCCCACATGCGGCCACACCTTCCCGAACTCCGCGGCGGTTATGGCGCAGCTGGACCAGCGGAAGGTGGTTGCGGAGCGGGTGGCGTTGCTGACCACGCCGGAGGGAGAGCTGGTGGAGGTGACGGATGACAAAGCACTAATCAGGCCGGACGAGTTGATGTCACCACTAACGAGGACTGGTGGCCCAGGTGGTGGTGGTGGCCGAACTTCTAAGTCCTACTACCGCCCCCGGCGGAAAAAGAGGAAGCGCATTGCTCCCACGTGGTGGCGGGGACTGAATGCGAGTAGGGAAAACATCACTGCATTTTTGCAGGAGGGAGGTGGAGCAGGGGTCGATGATGATCTTCTACTTCCAGGCACCTCCAGCGCAGCGCTTTACTCGGCCGGTGGCCAGCAGCACAGTTCTGTTTCATCTGACAGTGATGTCGTCCGCATCCCGACTCCTCAGTACAAGCCCTACAAGGAGATTTCCGTGAAGCTCACGGACGAAGTGATGTCAGAAAACATGGGCCTGCGCGCGCTCGTGGACAACGAGGAGTATCAAATGCAAATATGCCTGGGTCTGGAAAGTGGGAACTTGTAATGCTAGCGCTACATTCATGGGAAATCTGTATTGCATAACCGACAAAAGCCGCAGCCATTTTTGTCATGCAGAAACGCAGTTTCTCATGCGCATGCGGGCTGCCTATGAGAAAATGCTCCGGAACAAAGTTGTCACGCTGGTCTGCATTCGGAAGTGTTTCCATCATGCACATTTTAGCATCACAAGTTTCCAGACCCAGACACTTTTGCACTTGATAAGGAGGCGGTGTGGACCATGGTAGCGGACGAAGGGGTGCACATCCGGTTGCAGGACAAGATATCCTGTGCAAAAGTGTCGCACTCGTAGTAATTCTTGCAGTTATGCATTACAAATCTTTTTCCTAAGGGCAATCAGCATGACAAATTCCATTTCTCATCATGCTGAGGAAATTTGTAATGCAATTCATACTAGCACGATGCTTTTGCAATTCATACAAGGAGTTTTTCGCGCACTTCGACTTCCGCCTGGTGAACAAATACCCGGACTTCCAGGACGGCACCGTGAAACGGTACCCGAACATGGAAAACATCGTGGGCTTCCAGGGCATTGTCAACGGCACGGGGATATGAACTGCAAAAGTATCGTACTCGTATAAATGCATTACAAATTTTCTCAGCATGAGAAATAAAATTTTTAATGCGAATTTACCTTAAAAAGAAGATTTGTAATGCATGATTGCAATACGAGTACGATACTTTTGCACAGGATAGGGGAGGAGACTCCCGCCGAAGGGACAAGACTACCTCTGCAAGTGCGACGTGTTGAGCGCGGGGTGGACTTCGGTCACGGAAATCGACGTCACAAAATTGAAAAAGCCGAACAAGAACCCATTTGTGTACCGAAGACCCGCGGAGGGCGGTAGCGGCGCAGGAGGGGGCGGAGCTAGTAGTACAGAGGCAGCTGGTGGTGCAGCTGCAAACCCGGCGGAAGAGATCCAGGCAGCGCGGGAACAGGAAGAGAAACTTGACGAAGAGGATGAGGAGCAGGCCAAGTCGACGCGGTACGGCTGTTTCTGGGGCCACAAGCAGGGCAAGGACGTCTCTGAGGGCTTGGAGAAAATTTTGCCGATGAACGTCTCGTTAGCGCATTTGCAAAACGCGAAATTTATCCACCGAAGGAAGACCAAAGTGGTGGACCAGTCGCGGGAGGTGGTGAAGAAGGGCGGGTACAGATTGTATGTGGAAAAGATCCCGAAGCAGTTCAACAACTCTGCGCAAGCCATACCGGAGCTGACGACCCACATCGCGCAGCACGGCACGCGCGGGGTGCTCAATGCGGAGTACACCGACTGGCTCACCGCTTCGTTTCTGCAGAAGGATCATGATCATTCTAGTACAATATTGAGCAGGACGAGGGACGTCGTAAACAAGCAGCAGCCACTGCTGCACCCGATTTCGTACTACCTGGAAAAACGAGAAACGAATGAAAAAAGTAGGCAAAGGCTACGCCGAATTATAAGTAAGAAAGTCTCGAAAAAGAAGAAGAGAGCCTCTGAACAGGGAGCTGCTCGCCAAAACCTGCGGGACGGGGGCTGGAAGATGCTACCAACCGCGGAATATGCATTGCAAATATGTCTGGGTCTGGAAGGATGCAACCTGTGATGCTACCTCTGGATTCTACATAAAATCTCTATTGCATGAACAGCAATAGTTTTTTGCCACGCGGAGCGAGCATTTCAATTTCTCATGCGGTATGGGCATCAAAAAGTCCTTGCAGAGTCTGTGATGCTACGGCATGCATCACAGACATTATGGGTCATGCAAAATCTAGATTACAAACTCCTGCATTCTTCCAGACGCAGACATATTTGCATTGGATACGGAACTCCCCAACTCCGATGCGTTCCCGGTCAACTTCACGTGGCGGGGGCACGAATATGAGAGTGCACGACTCCCCTCCCCTCATTTGTCATGCAAAGTCCCAAATCTACCTTCTGCCTGTTAGCACTTTTGGCATGACAGACTCCGAAAGCCAAAACAGCACTTTGCCAGGAATTTGTCATGCAAAAGCTGCATCTTTGCCAGCGCTTGTGTTGCTGTTCATGCAACACAAATGAGGGGGAGGGGGAGTTGTGCACTCTCATAACGAAAGTCTTTCGGCCTCGCTTCCGGAAGAGCTGGACATTTTGTCTGAGGATTTCGACCAGGGCGCTTGTGGCAGCTGCTACGTGCACAGTGCGACAAACGTGATGCAGATGCGAACCAGGATCGCGTTTCAGAGAAGGTATAAAAAAGCTGGATGCTGCACCGGCGGACAGATACGTGATTTTTTGTTCGACAGTATGCACATGGCACCACACAGACACATCGTTTCTTTCTACGAAAATAAAAGTAAAAGCTCCTCCGAACCATCTACATCAATGTGTACATCATGATGATGATTCGTATATTAGATACAACGTGTCCTACCCGCTGACCCTGTCCTGGCGCGCGGCGATGCGTTGCAACCCGTACAACGAGGGCTGCGGCGGCGGCTTTCCCTACCTGGTCTTCAAGCAATTCGCGGAAACCGGGGTCCCCGCGATCGAGAAGGCGAACGCCGGCTGCGACCCGATACGGTATCAACGGATGGTTTTTGTGCGCCACTTCCCCCACATCGTGAAGGTGCCAAACGCGGCGAAAATCCTCCGCTACATGCTACAGTTCGGCGCGAAGTTGGGCGACGATGTCATCGTGAAAATCTTGCTTCTCATATGACAGTGCACAACTCTCCCTCCTCCTCATTTGTGATGCAAAATACCCGATCCACCGCTTGCCTCTTGGCACTGTTTGCATGACAAGTTCTTGTAGCCCAAATAGCACTATGCTCCGAGTGCAAATTTGTCATGCAAAACCAGCATTGGTGTTGATGCTCATATTGCCGTTCATGCTATACAAATGGAGGGGAGGGGGAGTTGTGCGCTGTTATATCTCAACTGGGTGCAGTACGAGAACCAGAAATGGTGGGTGTACGGGACGTATGCTGTGCAAAAGTATAGTACTCGTAGTAATCGCAAACATGCATTACAAATCTTGCTCTTAAGGTAAATCCGCATTACAAATTTTAGCCTTCATGCTGAGGAAATTTATTTGTAATGCATTTATACGAGTGCGATACTTTCGCACAGGATAGGACGGGCGGAAACTTGAATTTGGACGGAAAAGTGTCGGAGGCAGATACGAAAGAATTTGACGCAAAGTACAACGAGACAGCAGTGGAATTCTCCACGAGGGCCCGGATATACATTGCAAATATGTCTGGGTCTGGAAGGTTGCAACTTGTGATGCTGTCTCTGCATTCTAAAAAAAGCTGTATTTTTGCATGACCAGCAAGAGGGGTCCAGTTTTTGCTACCTGGAGAGGGCATTTCTCATGCGGAATGAGCATCAGGAAGCCCTCTAGAGATCTGTGATGCTAGGTTATGCATTACAGGCGTCATGGGTCATGTAAAATTAGACCAGAAAATCGGAAGAAGTACATGTTTTTTTGCGCATCCCCTTGCAACGGGGGTCGCGGGCTGAATGAGGTTGGGGGGTGCGAAGGCGCGACCGCGTTCCGGGTTGTTTTATCCCGGAAAAATTAGCCCCCGGCATTGCGGCTGCGCGGCCGGGGCCGGGGCGGGTCGGCTTGGCGTAGATAGGAAGGCGACGGCACACAGCCAACACCTCGCCACCCGCCCCCACGCTGGGCCCACGTCGGGGACACACAACAGACGCGGCGCGCATCCCGGGGCCCCAACGCGAAGCCCTTCCGGGCCCGGAAAAGCTCTTGCTTTGGCTGCGGCCTGGCGCGCCTTTTCCCTTCATTCCGGGGCCCCGGCCGGCGGGTGAACTGCAGGCCCCCCAAGAGGCGCGCGCGCCTCCCCCTTTCGGAGGGGGGGGAAAAGGGGGCCCGAATTGGCCCAATTCGCCTCCCTTTTTGAGGGGGGGTAAAATGTGCCCGATTCTGGCTCATTTTGCCCCCCCCCTGTAGTAGCGGGGGAAGGCCATTTTTTGCCCCCCCCTAAAAAAGGCGGCAGAATTGGGCCAATTCGGCCCCCTTTTTACCCCCCCCTCCAGAAGGGGGGCCCGCGCGCCTTCCGGGCCCCCCTTCCCGGCCCCCCAATTGTGGGACGGCTGTTGTTGGGGCCGAAGCAGGCCCCACCTTAGGGGCGCGCGCCCACCCTACTGCTTCGAGGGCCGGCCCCTCCGGTACGGCGAGCAGGCCCATGCGCTTCCGGCAAAAAACATGGCGGCGGCGCACCGGCCCGACCGGGACGGGCCCGCGGGGAGGCCGCTTGGTGGGGCGGCGTTTCTCGCTCTTGGCGGGCTTCGAGGTCGGGAGGCCGCCCCGGCTCTCTTTGGCAAGCCACAACCCCCGAGCCGCTGCATGGCGCAGCGAGGTCCTCGGGCCGGGTGTACTGTCGGGGCACCCCGCCGCCCCCGAAGCGAAACGAAAGCGGCCCGTCATGCAAGCGGGTGCGCGAAAAAGTATGTACTTCTTCCGATTTTCTGGTCTAATAAAATCAGCGCGACAGGTCTTGCATTCTTCCAGACCCAGACATATTTGCATTTCATACCGGAAAGAGATCAACGACATCGTGCAGAACATCGCCCTAGGGCCGATGCGGAACGGCGGGGTCGGCACGGCTTCGAAGGATGTCTATTACGCCGACGAAAAGCTGAGGGAGAAGCGGGCGGAGGCAGAGGCGGCGGCGGTGGAGTACAAGCAGAAAGCGGCGTCACTCTTGCAGAATTTCATAGCGCTGGGGAAAGATCGGCGGGTGTTGGGCCGGAATATTAAGGAGGATAAGAGTAGTAGGCTTGTCAGCGGTGCTCTTACACCGGCGCAACCGTTGTTGTCAGCTCCTTTGGGTGGAGTAGTAAGTGGCGTTGCCGTAGCAGCAGTAGTCGCAGATTCTCGTAAGCACGAGGAGCCTTCAGTTCTTCACCAGCAGAAACCACGAGCAAACAATCCCAGTGCTAAAAGATTCACCCACACCGCTTGGGCTGAAGTGCTTCGGAAATTAGAGTCGCTGGAAGAAAAAGTCGGAACGAAGCTCGACGCTGGAACAAACAAAAATGCTGATGCGACTGCTGCTGCTGCTGCCGCTGCTGCTGCCACAACCGCCCAGGACAAATTTGCCTCGGCCGCCGAGAAGCTACACTACAAAATCGATAACCACCAAAACCTCCAAAACGACCTGCAAAAACTTTCCCTGTTTCAGGAACCGGGGTACGACGCGTGGATGGTATGCATTGCAAAAGTATCGTACTAGTAGTAATTGCAATACAAATTAGCTCAGCATGACAAATGGAGTTTGTCATGCTGTTTTGCCTTGGGATGGAGATTTGTAATGCATAACTGCGATTACTACGAGTGCAATACTTTTGCACAGAATAGATGGGCATGTTCAGCAACAAGTGGAAGAACGAGATTCCCCATAACCGCACAAGAGCCGTTATGGAACTGTCAGGATCGAAATCACAAAATCGATAGAATTTGTGATGCATATCATAAAATCGATACCAGTTGGAGCCTCAGTTCCCAAGTGGCGTATGACAACTTTTGGGTGCACCAAAATCCAGTCTGTCATGCTGTTTGGGCAAAGAAGCCTGCTCCTGTCATGCTACTCTGGCAGCACATCGCCTCCTCCTAACTAGGCTTGCAATCGGTCCCCTTTGCCTGCTCCCCAGCACAGGCCTTACGTGCCATACATTTTATGCATTACATTTCGATCCTGACACTCCCATAGCCCTTCTGCTGAACGTGGAGAACACCGTCCGGCAGATTCTGGCCCAGCCCGATTCCCTCAGCGGCGAAGCTTTGGGGAACAAACCGTGCGATTTGCGGCGGTGCTTTGGCATGCGGATGCCGACGAGGCGGGATTACCAGGAGATTTTTCACGAAACGTACGAGCCGTTCTTGATGCACAAACGGTCGAAGATTTTGGACCGAAGCCGGTATGGGAGAAGTTTGAAGCACTTCTTCGTGCAGAGAATCAAAGCGGAGAAAGCTGCGAAGGAAAAGAAGCATGGTGTCGATAGTACTAGTACAACAACGAAGAAGAAAGAGAAGAAGATGGACAAAGTGCGGGACATCATTTTTCACAGGCGTGATGTAGTACATCACCAGGCTCTTGAGCAGAAAAAAGTAAAAGGCCTCCAGAACAATCGTCTGCTAGAGGAGCAAGTGGATAAGAGAAAAAGTACGGCCAAGGGCGGCGCAAAAAGGAAAAAGTCAACGACGACTTTGAAAATGGTCATGGAGCTGGACGACGCGGAGAAAGGAGCGACAAAAAATAACAAAGAACTGCAGAAGACGAGGACCGAAGGCGCGAACAGTGACAGTGCGCTTTCCGCTGCCCATTTGAGTCAAATCTTAACCAACTTGCCGGATCATGAAGGAGCCGTTGCAGATGTAGTAGATGGTCCAAGAACGTCTGCCGATCCCGATCTTCATGAAGAAATTCCTGCTGAAACCATAATTTCTGACCACCAGCGTCGTGCTAGCCCTGGTGATGTTCTAGGAACTTTTCTGCAACTGCAAGTGCAACAGACCGATTCTTCAGCAAGTGCAAGCGCTCGCACTGAAATAAGCGAAGGAGCCACAAGTAGAAGTCTCACCACGTTGACCCAGCCCCGGACGCCACCCCCGCCGACATCCGAAGACGACTACAACCAAGTCCAAGCGATGCACAAACTCCTCGTTTTCGCAAAGTACTGGGGATACGTGGGCGGGTACGCGCAGGGCGCAGAGGAGGATCTGATCATGCGTCACATCTACAAGGACGGCCCGGTGACCATGTCGCTAAACCCGGACGGAGTGAAGCATTTTGGGTATTTGCACAAGATGGAAGCGCAAAGGCGGGTACTGGACGCGTCGAATCCCTTTTTGAGTAGATTGGCCGAAATGCAGGAACCGCTGCCGAGCAACGAGAAGATCGTCCAGCCGTGGTCGCTATGAATTGCAAAATTATCGTACTCGTACTACTTGCAACCTTGCATGACAAACCTACCTTTTTACAACCTGAATTAGCATTACAAATTCCACTTTTTTTTCTGATACAATTTGTAATGCAATTTTTACTAAGTAGCACGATACTTTTGCAATGCATAGTCGCAGTCCACGCACAGCATCATCTGTGTGGGGTGGGGCGTGCAGCAGAAAGTCGTGGACTACAGAGAGGTGGTAAGAGACGCAAAGAGGAAAAAGAAAAACAAACACTCGAAGGATCTATATGCGCTGCAAAAGTATCGTACTCGTATAAATGCATTGCAAATTATTTTGTTCTCAGCATGAGAAATAAAATTTGTGATGCGGATTCACCCCAAGAAAAAGATTTGCAATGCATGATTGCAATACGAGTGCGATACTTTTGCACAGGATAATCTAGAGAATGGCGTGACGACACCAGCTCCGCCGTCAGAGCAATCGGATTTCCCCATTTTGAAAGGCGAGGAAGATGGAAAAAATAATGCAGCGGTGGATTACAGGTATGGGGAAAAGGAGATGGAATCGCTGCGGAAAGAGAAGAAGGGTCCTTCGGCGGCGTTAGAGGCGGCCCCGACCATGTTGGTGGAACAGAGTAGAAGAAGCGACGCAGAAGTTGTAGAGAGAAAAGCAAAACAAGAACAAGAAGCACGTCGGCCAATAAAGCAACATTGGCGAAGAAGTGGTCACCAGCGAGGACAGCAGCACGAGATCCGAATTTTTACCCGTGGTCGCCACGGGCAAAATGAAAATGATGCTCTGCACGACGAAGAACATGACCCCGACGAAATCCACCCTTCGCTCGCGGTTTTGCTATGCAAGAAAAAAACTGTGTAAGTGTAAATCTGTGATGCAGAAAATGCAAAACAGTTACACTTGTCATGCTCAACATGCATGATCGGCTCGCTTCCTATGTGTTTTTCCTTCCTATCTGCGCATAGCAAGTTTTTCCTGCTAGGGCAGACAAACTTGTGATGCTGTTTTCTCAAAAGACTTACACTAACACAGTTTTTCTCTTGGATATTTGCTGTTCCAAATGCAGAAAAGGGCGTGGAAGAGAAGTACTAGAGTCGGGCAAAATCTACTTCATCGTGAAGATCCAACAGATCCAGGATTTTCAGATGCGCAGGGTGAAGTGGAGGACGGTGCTGGTGAGCAGGCCGGAGAAGAAGAATCTAGTGCACCAGCATCCGACAGTAGGGTAGATCTAGATGGCAGCGCGGATGAAAATGATGTTGAAGATGCAGATGATTCTGAAAATGCTATGCCTTGGACGGTCGTTAGCGTACAGAAGGGTGAATTTGCACTGAATTTGTATTGCATGACTTGCATTTAAGTAAGTACTTAAAAGAGAAGTGCGCTAGGTATGGACACGAGCCCAAGCATCCCACATAGCGTGAAGGGCTGCTCGTCGCGTGGTGGCGCTTGCAGGACCGAAAGAAGTGGTCTTGCGGGGTCTCGCCGGGCTGTGTAGTGCGTATTTAGCGACCAGAGAAGGTGGATCGGGTGGCTCTTGTTCATCTGCGGGCTTACCTCAGAAGTTCCTCTCCGGAATGGTCGAAAGGCAGGGCGACGCCTGAACACAGGGGCACTAGTTCAAACACGTACGCTCTCGCGAGTTGTGGTTTGGAATTGGATATCTGGGAGTAGCCTCCGGTGGAAGGGAAGGCACGACTCGGCTACGGGCACTAGCTTGCTTGGCCTGGTGTTTTTGCCCCCGGAGCAAGTCTTTTTCGACGTGGCTCTCAGGTCAAGAATTCCTTGGTGAATTTTGAGGCTTTTTGTTTTTGCGACACTTTTTTGAAGCCCCCAAACCCGGAGTTTCTCACGCGCTAGCGAATTTTGAAAAGGAGCCGGAGGCCAAAATTCACCGGCGCCCTTTTCAAAATTCACCCCAAAACTCACCGGGCGCCCATTTTCGACCGTGATAAGCAAACTTTAGCGCAGAAAAGTGCTCAAGGAACTCCGCAAATAGACCCTGGGAAGCGGGGCCGAGGGGAAAAGACGAGCGCCCTCTGCTGCCCTCAGCCCGTCTATATTCTGCCGAAAAGGCCGGAGAGTTCACGCGCCTGCCGGATAGACGCGCCAAAGCTCTCGGCCTGGTCCTTTCGCCCTTGCCTTCGCGCCTTCTTGCCTAATTGCATTTGCTTCGCAGCGCTTTCTTTTTGGCGTCTCTGCCCCGGCTGCTGCAGTGCTCTTATGCGAGCACAGGGAGACGAATAGACATGGCCAAAGAACGGCACCCAGGCCATGTCTAGAAGTTCTTGCCCGCCGCATAAGCCTTGACAGCTTTTGCGGTGTGCAGAACCCACTTCCCAGAAGGCCAAGAGGGACAATGTCCCGGCGGACCCACCTGCAATTTGTCATGCAAAATTCACTACAAATTCACGAACTTCTCATGCTAACGGATGTTAAAGCTCTAGTGAAAATGATGTTGAAGATGCAGATGATTCTGAAAAGAAATCCGAAGATCAAGATTTTTCCGGAGATGATAGTGAAGACTCCTTCTTTCCAGACGAAATTCTGGGTGAAGATGCGATAGTACCGAGCGAAATAGGCGACGGGGAAACAAGCACTACAGATGATGAACAAAATAAAGACGAGGATACAACTCCTGCAATCGACCTTCTAGCCAAAGAACGCAACAAATTAAAGAACGTCGTTGGCAGCATGGCAGAGGATGAGGAAAAACAAGAAGAGCGTACAACTAAGAACGTCTACTCCCAGCACGCCGGAACCTCGTCCAAGAAGAAGATGAAGCGCAGAAAAACCACTTCTATGTCACGATCTAAAAATAAAAAACGCAAAGCAAAACGAAAATCTACTTCCGGATGGCACTACATCGACGGCGAAAATAAATCTTCGTCCAACCCCGAGGGAACCGCCAGCAGCAAAAGAAAGAAACCGAAACACAAAGAGCACTTTAAGACCGCGCGAACAGTGGAAGTCTCTGCCGTGAACCGGGCGCAGATGGGGGAAAAGGTCGAGCAGAAGAAATTCTGGGAGGTGCGCAACAGCTGGGGCCGGGAGTGGGGCGACCGCGGGTACGCGAAGCTGGAACGGGGAATCAACATGGCGTTTTCGGAGATCGAATCGGAATACGTGGTCCCCGACATGGAGAAACTGCACAAAAATTTCGTGGACAAAAACCCGGAGATGCTGAAATACATCGAGGAGGCGAATAAGTTGCAGAACGAGCAAAGGCAAAAAGAGCTGGAGCTCGAGAAGCAGAAGGAGGAGGCCGCGAAGCAAAGCACGTACCTACCGAACATAACCGTCCCCGTGCCGGAAATACCGGAGTTCCCACATCTCGGTTTCTCCGTTTTCAGCCAGGAGGACCATCTGGCGGGCATGCCGCTGATTGATGAAGTTGTGCGGAACGTGAATTACACGCATATCCCGGGAATCCTGCTTTCCGAAAGTCGGGTGGCAACCGCACCGACGAAGACCTCCGTTGTTGAACCCGTAGTGCAACAGTTAAATTTCTCCACGTCCACCGCCCCACCGCCACCTGCAACCACCACCACGACCACTACCACGACAACCACTATCCTGTGCAGAAGTATCTTCGTACTCGTACTTCTTGCAAATATGCATGACAAATGTTTTTCCTAAGGGAAAACAGCATTACAAATTCCACTTCCCTTCTTGCCAAAATTTGTGATGCAATTTATACTAGTACGATGCTTTTGCAATGCATAACCACCACGAAAGAGCAACGGCAGGACACCGTGGCGATTTTGTCTGATAAGGACTGGGAGAAGCGGAAGAAAAAGCAGGTCAAAGAAGGTAATGCCAGGGTGATACAAATCCACGAGGACGAGGACTGGTACCCGAAAAAGCTCAACGGGAAAAAGAGGAAGCCCAAATACCCCGAGTACCGCTACCCCTGGTGGCATCCAAAGGTGCCGGAGAAGGAGCAGGATCCGGGGACGTTTGAAAATGGCTACAAGCCGGAGAAACCCCGGGAATTCGAGCCCGGGCCAAATGGTCAGAAGGAAAAGGCAAGATCATCTAGTAGTACATCAGGTGCTTCTTCATCTTCCACGAAAAATTTTTCACCTGCAGCATCAAGTGAGAAACAGGACAACAACAAACCCGCTTCAGCAGCAGCAGACAAGTACGGCAAGGACAAGCTTCCGATCTCCCGACTGACGAAGCAGGAGTACTACAAGCGCTTTGTGCCAACCGCCGTCGAAGGGTTTCCGACCTCCGAAGAAGCCACCGAGTATCCTGTGCAAAAGTATCGCACTCGTATTGCAATCATGCATTACAAATCCTGTTCTTGAGGCAAATTAGCATTACAAATTTTATTTCTCATGCTGAGGAAATTTGAATTTGTAAAGCATATGCATTTAATATACGAGTACGATACTTTTGCAGTTCATACTGAGCCCCCGGAGCCGCAACTAGACGAAGGTGCGCCGGAGCTGATCGCAATTCGCGACGACGTGGAAAAACCGTTTCATCCGAGATTCGCACGGGCGTACCCTCAGGTAGCTGTTGCAGAAGATGAACGACCGCGGAAGGAGGAGGAGGAACGAGGACATCAAAATGAAGACGGGAAAACCTCCACGAGTGGGGCGTTTCTGCAGCAGCAAAAACTGGATCTGGAAGTAGGCCAGAAGAAGAGGACCACATCGAAACCAGCGGCTTCAAAAAGAAAACCGCATTTTGTGGGAAATAACGTCGTTGACCCACGTACGATTCTGATCCGACGGGGAAAAAGAGACGGCTGATGGAAAGGCCTTATTTCGGTAGAGGACAACACCACGTAATGTCGATTTATTACGTGTTCCAAGAAGTTTAAGATTAAGTAAAATTTTACGGTTAATACAACAAGATTTTTCCGATAGAGAATACAGAATCATCATCATGTGTATGGATACTACTCCAAAAAAAAACGGTTTCGAATTGGTATTGCAACAACGGTTTCAGTTTCAGCGCTGGTTCATTAGGATCGCGTTTTTTCAAGAACACACGCTAGGCGTTTTTTGAAAGCGGCCTGCTGAGCAAGGTAAACACGAGGGAAAGCCGATTTTTTACACACACCACACATAGAGACCAGCATGGGCTTGAGGAATGTCTTGTACCTAGAAAGAGAATACATATTCATCTCGACATCATCAATGAAGATTTGTTTAAAGTAAAAGTATCCTGTGCTGGGAACGAAAAGTTCGAGCATTTGCATTTTTGTCTCGGCCTTGACTAGTAGATGATGTACCCGAGCCCGAGGACAACAAAGCAGGACGAGGTGGTCACTTCTGCGTAATGTTCGAACCAAATTAAAACTCGAATCATCCTCGGCCTCGAAAACTACAAACTGTTTGCTCTCGAGACCGATGATGAAATCTGTATCTGTATGCCGTTTTTTGTGATGAACAAAATTTTCGGTCGTGTTACCTAGTTTTTTTACCCGCTTCCGCTACCGTTCATGTTGATCATAAATCCTCACGCTTGTTTTACTCAAATCGACGACATCGGACATCAAAGAAGTACTGGAAGATCAACGAAGAAATCCAAAAATGCGGGAATGTTTTTTTCATGGGATCCAAAAACCGATATTGAGTTGTCAATGCGAGGTATAATTGCGGTGATAGAACCATCGAGTTTACTTGGCGAAGTGGAAGATTGGTACGAACCGCATGGTCGTGTGCCGGGATTTCTTGGACGTCGAATGTGCAAAGAAACTGAATAGCTCTGGTGCAAATGCAACAGAAACAGCTGGCTTACTCTACTCGCATTCTTTTACTCCCACTTTCATCGTGTCGAACACGAACTCAGTAACGTTGACATTGCAATTGACAAGTAAAAAAAAAATACTATTTCGCACAACTACTTCTTCTTCTAGTACCTCCATCGGTTTTCTAACTGTACTTCTTTCATGAAAATCAAATCTCGTCACGTTAAAGAATTTAAAAATTCTGCTACGTTTGTTGTCGCCCCCATTTGACTTCGCCATCACTACTTTGCGACAAAGGTCCCGGTCGTTTTCCAAAAACGTCATACTAATACTTATACAAAAAGCAGCTCCTACGAATAGTATCTTAGAAAAAGCGGCTCGTACTTATCTTTATCACATTATGGCGTCCTTCACTTCACCGAACAGTGCTCCAATGAGGCCGTCCTCCCGCGGCGCTGACCACAGCACCGGAACGAGTGCTACAGTTCGGGAGCGCAGTCCGCGTCTGTCCTCGTCTTCTTCTTCTCCCCAGCGCAAGATGAACAGCGTCCGTCCGACGGAGCGCTTGCTGCAAAAAGCGCGATCCGTGGACGGGCATGAGAAGGAATTTCTGCAGGCGGTTGAGGAGGTTTTGGCGTCCCTTTCGCCTGTGTTGGATAAGACTTACGACCCGCAGGTCGACATGACCGGTTGGAAGAAATCCAAGTACCTCTACAACGCGATGGCGCGGCTTTTGGAGCCCGAGCGCGTGATCTCGTTTCAGGTCATGTGGCAGGACGACAAGGGCGAGACGCAGATCAACCGCGGCTGGCGCATCCAGATGAATTCCGCGCTGGGCGCGTACAAGGGCGGGTTGCGCTTTCACCCCACCGTGACGCAGTCGGTGCTGAAATTTTTGGCGTTCGAGCAGGCTTTCAAGAACGCACTGACCACGCTGCCGCTGGGGGCCGGGAAAGGGGGCAGCAACTTCGACCCGAAGGGCAAATCGGATCGCGAAGTCTACGCGTTTTGCGCCGCGTTCATGGGCGAGCTGAGGCGGTACTATTGATTTTTGTACACGAGATCATGATCATATTATAGCGGCGCGAGTTGTGCCGTGTGTAGTTGTCGCTCCAGTTTTGAAGATGTTCTGAATGGCTAGTAGCATCAAAGAAAAACAAAAAATGCGCACGTGCAACATTTTTATCAAAACTCAACTCACATGATCAGCCACATTGGTCCTTCCATCGACGTTCCGGCCGGTGACATCGGTGTCGGTGCCCGGGAAATCGGCTACCTCTATGGTCACTACATGCGCATGCAAAACGAGCACGGTGCGAAGGGCGTTCTGACCGGGAAAGCGGTTGACTTCGGTGGATCCTTGCTGCGGCCGGAAGCGACTGGCTATGGCTGTGTGTACTTCGCCGAACACATGGCGCGCAAGCTTTTGACGGGACCGAAAACCACAGGCCAGAATGCTTTATCGCCACTGCATGGAAGGCAGTGCTTGGTTTCCGGGAGCGGCAATGTCGCAATGTTTGCGGCTCAGAAACTGTTGCAGCTCGGGGCGAAAGTGCTGACCTTGTCTGATTCTGCCGGAACTCTGGTTTTTGGAGGAAACGGTCTGACGGAAGAGCTTTGGACGCTCGTCAATGAGCACAAGGTGAATAAGCGTCAGCCTCTGTCGAGTTTCAGCCTGCCCGCAGGTTCCGGGGCTTATTACCCTGGTTACAAGCCGTATAATTTACCATCCGAAGCGTTCGGTGTCATGAATGGAGGGCTTAGTAACCAGCTTCTGGCGCTCCCGTGCGCGACGCAGAACGAAATTTCGGAAAATGACGCGCGTCACATGGTGAAGACGTTGCATGTGAAACTGGTCTGTGAAGGTGCCAACATGCCGACGTCGAATGAGGCGATTGAGAAAGTTTTCAAGCCCCATAAAATCCTGTACGGACCGGGCAAAGCGGCCAACGCCGGCGGCGTCGCGGTTTCGGGGTTGGAGATGGCGCAGAACGCGAGTCTGCTGTCCTGGGGCAAGGAGGAAGTGGATGAGAAATTGAAGGACATTATGGGAAAAATTTTCCTCCAGTGCACCGACACAGCGACGAAGTACGGCTTTCAGGCAGAGGACCTGCAAGCCGGAGCGAACATCGCGGGCTTTCTCCGGTTGGCCAACACCATGGAAAAAATGGGGCCGGCGGTGTGAAATGGTGGATTTATTTTCAGATTTGAAAACCACATGGTGGACGGAGGACGAGATGTTGATCATGATAGTTTTACTTGCCGCAGCCTTATGTGTATGTATTCCTGAGAAGAAGTAGGAGGACAGTCAGAGTAGAATCATGATGAAATGCACGTAAGCTGAAGCTCGAGCAGCTGCGCCTGCTCTATTTCAAATTCAAAGATAGCGCTTCTATACCAGCTGCGGTATAATCGTCATCGTGGTCCGTATTATAAAATTTACTTTTCTTGACCCGACTAGAACCTCAACCTTTCCCGTTGGTTCTGGGTCCTCTTACAAATTGCCAATTTCAAGAGTCTTGGAAGGCTAGGATGAAAAGAACTTACACGTTGCTTTCCAACAAAAAAATTACAGCACGTGTTGCGTAAGCGTTTGGGTAGGATATTTCTTTCGAGCGAACTACGCCGCCTATCAAGTATTGTAGAACAAACACTAGTTGAAGAAGTAGAAAACAGTATGAAGAAGCGTTTTCGAAAAGTAGAAGAACTAGACCCAAAACTACTACTCAAACCACCTACAAATATGCCAACTTTTTGAGACTGCACTGCCAATGCGTACAACCGTCCATCGAAATCGGCGGACGTCGATCAAAAACCTTTGCACTCATTTGTGAGCATCGTGCGTCCGCGATTTTTGGAGGGACGAAAAACCTTTGCAAGTTTGCACTTGCAGCAGAAAAGGGTGTATAATTTTTCTTTTTGACCATCGCAGCAGCGGCAGGAAATTTAAAACATGGACGCGGACGAGACAAACGCGATAGTCAATTCGATAAATGTTGATGCTGATGTTCAGGTTGAAGATCTTCAAAAGAGTGACACTCCAGTATTTCATTTTTCACGAAAGTAAACTTGAAATTTCGTCGGCCTCTACACGTTACAGGTTATCGATTATCGTACAGCTCAACACCCTCTTCGCCGTCGTAAATTCGCATGCATACAGACTCCGCGCTAGGTACAAGAACTTAGTCGTCGAGAAATCTATGGTGGAGATCATGCGCGAATAATTCGAATCAGAATCTGCACGCCGCGTGCGTAAAAACGCAACCGCCGCCCAGCAGAGGAAGGCTGGAGAAGTTGAAGATGGGTCATTTCCGGGCACCGGCATTGCTCATTCACCACAACCGACAACATATATGCAGCCTGAAAGGGACGACGAAAACAAAATCGAAATCATGCTGCTGGATGTTTCTGCTCCTAATCGCAGCAAGAGCAGCATGGCAACCCGGAACCGGAACATCAAGAACGCAGCAGGGCGGGGGACACACTTCTACACTGGGATCATCGTTGTACACCGGCGGCAATCAACCGCGGGCACCGGCTTTCATTCCTGCTAGTCAACGAGGGCAAAGCATAGTACTGGAGCAGTCGACCTCGACGTCGGCTCCTGCTATAGGAACCGGGGGACACCCACACCCCGGAAGCGGCACGCCAGCGACCAGGACCACGGGAGCCACTTTCACTTACCTTCCAGTCGAGCATGTGTATTCACATTCAGGGCAGGGGCAGTTCAGTGCGCCGTTTAGTGCGCCGTACGCTGGCGGGACGACTGGGTCTTCATACACGACAGGAACCGCAGCCGGAGTAGAAAGCGCGCTCGTTTCGGGGCACCAGCAGCCCCCCGTCCGTCCGGCGCCCGCCCGCCAGATCCAGATCGTCCGGCAAGTTTCTTCGACCGCTGCCGCGGGAGGGAGTTCTATTACGACGGCAGCGTTTGCTGGTGCAGCAGCGCCAAGTGGACACGCAGGGTACACCACTTTTGTAGTTCCACCTGGCCGCTCGGAATGTAATGCCGGTGACGTAGTAGTTCCTGCAGCCCCTCGGCTTCTGACACCTCGAGGCCTGTCCTCGACAGAAACGCGGCCACATCCAGCGGTTGCAGTCTACAGCGTCAGTGAAGATCATGCAGGAGGAGCTCCTGGCGCAACTGCAAGTAGTTCTCGTCCAGCATTCCCTAGCTCGACATTCTTGGCGCAACAATGGCCACCATTGTCTTTGTCCCCTGTAGTTGCTTCCACTGGACACGAAGTACAATCTTCGTCGACTACGCAACACGTGGAAATCGATCCGACGTTGCCGCCCTCCTCCTCGCACCATGGGCTGCAAGTTGATAGCAGTGTCCGACTAGGAGGACGAGCAGCAAAAGCCGATGCAGCTGCACGATCGGAAACTTCTACGCCATCTGCGTCTACCGGATCCTTTGTCGTGAACGATTACTTGCACACACAACAGGCTTCCCCGAAGATTAATTTCTTAAACCTGCTCGATTCTAGTAGACGACAGGAGGAAGAGAGAGTTGTACAGGATCATGCAAACACCCACCCAGCTGCCTCCTGTCTCAACGCGGCACTTCTTTCTTTCCGAGACGGTCCCCCGGTTTGTAACTCTAACTCCTCCTGCACGTCAAAAAGAAATAAGCAGTGCGAACAACAAGCGTCCCACGTTTTCACCCATCCACAAACCGGTCGGAAACTCTTTCTCGCCGGATCCGCGTTTGCGAAATGCGGGGCGTGGCAAAGAAACGAATGTGTAAAGTTCAACTTGGACATGAGCCAGGGCGAGTTCAGAACGCCGGCGTTGACCTATGGGGGTGTCAGGATTGAAATCGACAAAGTTGAAATAACTTGTAATGCATAAAATCGATACCAGTTGGAAGCCCAATTTCCAAGCGGTGCGTGACAAATTTTAGGAGCACCGGAATCCTATTTGTCATGCTGTTTGGGCACAGAAGACTGCTTTTGTCATGCTCCTTTAGCAGCTCTATGTCTATCCGAAACCCTAAAAAATAGGCTCACAATCTGCCTCGCCTGCCATCCCGGCAAGACAGGCACTTCATGACTTGCATTTCATGCATGACAAATCATTTCAAATTTGTCGATTTCAAACCTGACGCTTCCATATGACCACGCGGGTGGTTATTCCGGTCTACGATAACGCAGTGGAGGTGGGTGTTTTGTTTTCCTTCCTCTTGGATGGCTTGCGCTTCGTTGACGCGGCGCTGGGCGGTGATTTTTTCGCAGAAGACGAAGTGGAAAAGCAGGAAGTTCGTGATAAAGTGTTCATTAGCCGGACGTCTGATTGTCCCCCGGGTATGCTAGATTCTTTCGCCGATAGTGGAGCTTCTCCCACGACCAGCCAATGCCGCCGACGAGAACAAGAATTATTTGCAGGAGGACCGGGATCAACTCGATCTTTCGAGAAAGAAATCTCCATTCCGCAAGCCCTCGCGAAGGAGCTGCACTGGCTGGGGCGGAGGAAGCAGGATACTCAGTATTTCGATGAGGACGAAGAAGATGATTTTGCTGACTCCGAAGCTGGTGAAGATCCGGCTCATGATAGTGCAAACAACTTCGACATCGAAATCGGGGCAGGTGCAGCCCTCCCCGTGGTCCCCCACCCGCCGCCCGTGGAGACGCAGGGTGCACCATCTACTTCCAGAGCAGCGTCTTCAGAAGGTATTAACAAGCCGAAACGAAATTATGGAAATACGAATACCCCGCCGGCTGTTGTAAGATACAAAAAAGGTTCTGACCTCCGGCGAAGGATTGACAAGGAACAGGAAATTTTTGAGTTCGCCGACGAACTCGGCTCGGTTGAGAAGGACGTGAAACGAGTGATGGCGGACCGTGCGGCGCAGTTGCTTTCTGAGGAGGTCGGACAAGTACAAGAACTACCACCGGATATACATATAATCAACCAAGGAACAATACTAGGAAGGAACGGCTCAGTTTCATCCCTGCCGAAAGAGGAGGAGCTCCGCAGACGAAAGATTGCCCTCCTCCGTCTCATCGGCCAGCGCGGCTTGGTGGCCGTAGACCCGGTCCACGGTAGGAAGCTCCCGGCCGGCCAAGGGGCGCACGACCAGGTGACCTTGGGGTCCGCGTGGCACATCCCGCGAGGACCAGAAATTGATGTTCCGCCAAAAACAACTTCTAATGGGGCAGCTGCAGCTGCAGGCTCAACCCCATCTTCCTCTTCCGGAGAAAACAGCAACATAACCCGGTTGAAAAACCTTTTCCTCCCGCTGAAGCCAAACCTCCTGGTGAATTGCGCCGTCGGAAAGTCCCGCAGCGTCACCGTCGTGCTAGCGTACTTGATGGTGGTGCACGATTACTCCCTCCGGGACGCTTTTGTGTTAGTGTACAGCAAGCGGCCGCTGATGCTTCCCAATAAAGGATTTTTTCAGGGACTCCAGCTTCTGGAGCGGTGGCTTGTACGGGTCACGGGAGGTATGACTGGGAGGGGGAGCAGGCGGGACGACAGGAGAGACGAGCGATTGATGTTGTCAGGACGAGTTCTTGGCGAAAGAACGACATCTGGGCGGATATTATGCGCATCCGCGGAAGAGGATTCCGACCAGCAAAGTTCGGAAGATGTTGGTCATGACGATGACGACCAGCAGGCCGGCGGGTCCAAGACGCGTGAAGACGAGCACAAGGACAAGCAGTCAGAAGACGCTTTACTGGATCCTTGGATTTGGCAGCCGCCCGAAAGAGCCGCTGGTTGGTCGCCCTTGAAGAGCACCAGACCTCGTTCTCGGAATACAATTTCCATGCAGGAGTACAATGCGCTGAAAAATCGGAAGAAAGAACAGGAAAACAAAAACCGGGGCGGAGGGCATCGTGTGATTTATGATTTGGAGTGCTGTGTGTGTTGATAGGGCTACAAATGAATATGAATATGGATCAACCGTAGGCAGGATAAAGATTGGAAATCGAAATCCATGTAGCATGCAGCATGTGCTGCGAGCATTCGCCACCTGCATATATGTCAATGTGCTAATACTACTACTATCCAGAGCTGTCTGCTCTATGAAAAAAATATTTTGACATTTGGGCCAATTTGGCATTGCAAGTTTTTGCCGATGCTGGTCTACAGATTTCATGAGTGACACATTTTCGTTATTTTCCCAAAGTTTGCTAAAGAATACAGTAAAAGAAAACACTAGCTGCGCGACTGCTGGTGCAACGACGCCTTTTCGGCCTTTTGCGAAAATTGAGAATATGATGGCCTAGCGAGCTCGATCTGCTGAAAGCGAAAGCCACATTATGTTGATAATACTGCCCTTGCAAGGAAACTTGATGTCGTCGTGTTTTCAAAATACCATGATCAAAGCACCCGGCGTAGTGAAGATCACCAAACGCAAATATACCTGCTTCTAAGCCACACAGAAAGACCAAGATCATCTGAGAAATTCGCCATACTGGTCCTGATAGGTTCCCGACGTGCAACCGATTTTCCCGGAAGATCAAAAAGAGCGATCCGGATCGAGATGATCGTTGTGCAAGGAAAAATGTGGATGCTGAGAATGATCTGGGAAAAGATAAAAAAATGGAAAAGAAGATTATGATGATCCTGGCGTCAGAACTACTTAGTACCATGGCGACCTATTCAACTATCGTTCTGATTGGATCATCATCATTCTGATTCTCCTATTTCGTATTCAGGCTCTGCTCGACGTTGGTAGTGATAGTGTGAAATTGTGGAAGTATAAATATGCGTATTTTTTGGTTTTCCTTCTAGAAGTACCAGAAGCGAATTTAGGGACATAATTCCTTTACTTCTCTCGCAGCTCCGTTTTGAAGTAAGACGATTCTTCAAAATAAGTCGACGTCTTTTCATATTTTTGCACTAACAACTACGACCTACGAAAAATAAAATGCGACCTCTATCCGAAGAAGAGCTGAAGCTCTTCCTGGAGAAGGTGTCTCGGTACATCGGAAATGGCGTCAGGCAACTAGTCGAAAGAAGTGACGAACCACACGTTTTCCGGCTGCATAACCAACGGGTGTACTACGTGGGCGAAAGTTTGTTGAAGAAAGGTATTGGATTTTTACAGAAACTACTACTAAGTACATCTACAGTCCGTCGTGCTTATCGTCAGTCTTGCCAATAATTTTCCATCTTTGCAAATGTCCAGCATGCTTAGTTGCATTCACAAAAGAAAATAAAAACCCAAAAACATCACTACAACAGCCGGTTGCGTCGCAAGGAAAAACCTGGCTTCTCTTGGTGTCTGTTTCGGAAAGTTTACCCACTCCGGCAAATTTCACCTGCAAATTACCTGCTTGGATTTCCTCGCCCGACTGGCGAAGTACAAAGTGTGGCTCAAGCCCGGCGGGGAGCAGCACTTCCTTTACGGCAACCACGTCGTGAAAGCGCACCTGAGAAGGATCACGGAGGACGTCCCCAGAAACGCGGGCGTGGTAATTTTCAGCGAACAGGGGGACCTGCCGATCGGGTTTGGGACCGCCGCGAAATCCACGGCGGAGTGTCGGGAAGCACCCACGGAGGCGATCGTGGTGTACCACCAGTCAGACATCGGGGAATATTTGAGGGAGGAAAGCAACTTGCTGTAAAGGGAAAGAGTCTGATGCTGGTGGTGGAAGTGAAAATCTACTACATGTCAAACGACAGAGCGATCGAAGAGAATCTTCATGGGAAATAGAACGTTCCAGGGCCGCCCGCGAAAATAAATTTGACGTGTAGATGAAGATGACCAGCTACGACCACTGACACTTTGACTTCAGTGATTGCGGTGCATGCAAAAATGACATTCGAAATATGTATCGAAAAAGACACAACAAGAACTGTACAAGAATCGGCGATCTCAATCTCGAGATCGTCGACATCGATTTAGTTTTCGTATGGAGTGTTCGGGTTCATCGCTATTGTGTTCGTTGATCGAATTTCTTGCACGCGATCTCTTCAGATCGAAATGGTGCGTAGAAGAAAGAGTTGGAGAGATACTAGGACAGGCACTACACGATTGGATAGTACTTACTTCGAGGAGTTGGTCCCCATGAGGTAGTAGTTTCTGCCATACGCATAATTTCTATTGCATTTTGTCCCGTACGATAAGTATAGTTTCCGCTTCATCTTCTGCTTCTCAGAAGTTTCGATTTCGTCGTTGTCGTGAGCATCGGTCTTCATCAGTTCCACCCGAGTAGAACAAGGACTCCTTCGATATCACCACACAACAAGGAGGAAAAACAACCAAAAATGAAAACAACTTATACCTTTGTTGACTGTCTGAAATAAAGCGCATCGCGCGATAGACAGAAAAAGCTTCGACGTTTTCAGCTCGTAGAACTTTTTTCCAAAATATATTACATCCGCCAAGATGGCGCCCGCACCACCGCAGACCATTCACTACGACAACAGCGCGGATCAAGAGGAAGATGGGTCTTATTGGATCGGGCCCGAGCGAAAGCCGGATGAATCCAAATCCGATGGACCGATTGAGTGGAAGGGACCAGCGGGACAAGCGTATTTTTGTTTTTGATATGATTGGAGTTGTGGATGTGGTTGTTTCGTTTGTTGCGTTGCGTTTATCTCAGGAGGTTCTTGCGTACGTGTGTCGTGTCGCACAATTACAGAAGGGTTCTTTTGATGTCCTGAGGAAAAATCGTAATTCGCCTGAATCTTCACAAACCACCCTCACAGTTCCAGTGTCCTTGCGAGCGGCAACAACCAGCAGCAGAATTCTAGCTCGGCCTCCTTCTCCCGCCTCACTTCTCCCGGCGTACCGCCCAGCAAGTCCGGACAAGGCGGCTACTACGTTATGTACGACGAGCCCTCGGGGAACAAAACGGTGGCGCAGCGGTTTCTCACGACGCAGAGCCAGTGGTTGCAGAAGGTTCGGTACCGGCAGGAGCTCCGGAACCTGGAAGCGGAGCATGAGAGGATGCGGGAGTGCGTCTTCGAACCGAACAAGGGCAGGGGAAAAAATAGTGCTGCAGGAGGAGGAGCTGCATCAGGAGGTGGTGGTCAGAAGTCCTCGAACAGCAAAGGAACTACATCAGCGAACAACAATTCATCATCTTCTGCAGCGCAACATTCTACGGGCAGAAACTCCACGTCCTCAAAAGACTTGCGGAAGCAAAGCAGAGACGACTTTCTGTACAAGATGCAGATGGCGCAATTGCAGGAGATGAAGAGCATCGAGCAGGCCACCGCGAGTGCGAGGAAACGAGAGGGATACGACGCGGAGCTCGCTGCACAGGTGCAACATGATCAAGGGGTCGCTGGGGGGAATAGCGGAAATCTGATCATGGAGGTAAAATACTTGTGAGGAATTACTTCGTATAAAAGTTCAATTCCAATCTTGAAGTTGAACGTGTTAGTTAGGGAACTGCAGCACTCTCACTCTTCGTAGTTACAATGCAGATTGAAGCAAGCTGTGAGTCTGCGTGGTTCGATGCGCGAAAAAAACTAAAACCCTGCTCCGACTTTCAACAGACCAGCATTGCGTCCGGCAATTCCTACATCGAAGCGCGCAAGGCGGAAGCGGTGGCTGCAAGATTGGAACAGGAGAAGAAGGAGATGGCCGAGTGCACGTTCCGCCCCAACCTCCGGCTCAGTCAGCAGAGCTACCGCTGCTACCGGCCGTTCGCAGACAGCACGGGAGTAGAACGGGCAAGCTCTTCGTCCTCCAGTAGGTTCATGCAGAGACGGAACAACGATCTTAGTTTCAGACCCCGGAGCAGGATAGGAGGGGAACAAATGAGTTACAATGGCACTGCGGTGACGTTTGATCCCAACCGACCTGGTCACGAGAGGTTTGTTTCAACAACTTCTTCGCAGCAGGACGGGGGTCGGGGTGCTAATCCGGCGGCGCGCACGATTGACTTCGACTTGCAGAAAATTGCGAGAGAAGAAGGGTTTTACAATTTGAACAACCTGCTAGACGAAGAAGACCTGGCGCTCGCGTCCATGCAACTCTATCACCCGGATAGCACGACGATGGAAAATTTGAATTACGGCGGAGGTGGTTTGCAGAAGACAGCAATGGGGGCGGACGTTGCAGCCTACGGAGGTGCGAGAAGCCGAGGACGAATGCGCGATATTGGAACAAATGGCGACGGGTTTATTGTTGGTGACCAGGAAGAACTGTATGCAGCAGGGGAGGAGAACTATCAGCTGCAAAACCACACCGCCACCTCGAACAGCATCAGGTCCTACCGCAATGCATCTCCACCGGAGAAGTTTTCTTTTCGCCCAAAAGTGAACGAGCTCCCGGAGGGTTTTCACGCGGCGAAAGTGTACACGGAGACCAACGTTTTCAAACGCCTGGCGGGAATCAACGAGTCGCCGCCGCCGGGAGCGGAAGATGAATTCTTTACGCCGCCACAGGTACTCTTTGAGTTTGGTGATGTAGTTCTTCAACTTCTTCGTTGTTTTGCATAGTAACCAAATTGATGTTACTCTTGGTGTTGGTCGATTTGCATGACAGAGTGAGATTCTATCTCTAAAAAAAACTTTCTATACAGGCCTTCCTGAACCGTCGCGCGCGGGAGCAACAGGAGGAGGAGTCCCGAGAGGAAAGGTTCGTCAGCGAACGAGAGAGGGCCGAAACGTACCGACAGTTCCTGCGTCGACAGAACGAAAAACAGTATGAAAAGGAGGACCGTATGGAGGAGCTGGAAAAGAAATACTTCGGCCAGGAGCGGTTTCAGCCGAGTATAAATCCGAATTCGCGGAAGATCGCCTTGAACAACACAAAACGGAACTCTTACAATCCCCAGGTCGCCGCGGGGACGACCGGACCCAGTAGCAGCAGCAACAGCAACAGTTTTAACGGTGGCCCTCGTGGGATAAACAGTTCTTCCTTCCTGAACAACCTCGACAATAGCGACGTGCAAAAAACTTGCTACGGCGACAACAGTAACCTGGACGGGACGAAAATGTCGCTCGGTCGGTCTCTACAATTCAACGCCGTGCAAAAACGACTGGCAAGCGAACAGGGCGGTTTATTAGGTGGTCTTCCAGGCGGAGGACATGAAAATGTAAACACTTCTACTTCCAACCGCACGCTTCTTGAACGGGAAGAAAGACGGATGTTCGGAAAGGATAACAGCCAAAACGTGTTCGCCAGTGTGTTGGAGGAGGAGGATGAGAGGAGGTTGAACCAGCGAAATAAAAACGGGATGTTGAATGCGGCAGGAGGATCTTCTTCCAACTCCCGCTCGAATTCCGCCTCCCGCACCTGGCACGACGAGCAACCGTGTCTGCGCGACCAGTACGTTTTGAAACAGATGCTATGCGTTGCAAAAGTATCGTACTCGTACTAATCGCAATAATGCATGACAAATCTAGTTTCTAAACCTGAATCTGCATGAATAACAAGACCCACGCGTGGGGACAGGGTCCCCACGCTGGGGCCTTGTGCCCGCCCCTAGTGGCGCTAGTGGGGGAAGGGTGTTCGCCATCGGGGCGGACAGCGTCCGCCCCTCGCCTCACACCAGGCGCGCGCATAGTGACTTAGTGCGCGAAACGCTAGTGGGGGAGGGGTGTTCGCCATCGGGGCGGACAGCGTCCGCCCCTCGCCTCACACCAGGCGCGCGCATAGTGACTTAGTGCGCGAAACGCTAGTGGGGCAAGGGTGTTCGCCATCGGGGCGGACAGCGTCCGCCCCTCGCCTCACACCAGGCGCGCGCATAGTGACTTAGTGCGCGAAACGCTAGTGGGGGAAGGGCCCTCACCTGTCGCGGCCACCTGTCGCGCCCACCTGTGATGGCCACCTGTCGCGGTCACCTGTCGCGGTCACCTGTCGCGGTCACCTGTCGCGGTCACCTGTCGAGGTCACCTGTCGAGGTCACCTGTCGAGGTCACCTGTCGCGGTCACCTGTCAAGGTCACCTGTCGCCGGGGGTATGCGTTACCAGAACCCGGAAGTCAAGCAATGTAAATATTAATTGCACTTTGCTTCTTGGCAAAATTTGTCATGTGAGTCATACTAGTACGATACTTTTGCAATGCATAGATGCAGGACAAGAACAAAATACCGCCCACCGTGGACCACGCCTTTCACCCGACCATCAACGCGAAGTCGAGCAAGATCGCGAATAGAAAATCGTTGCACGAGTTGTCGTAGGAACTGTAAAAGTAACGTACTCATATAAAGTGCATTACAAATTTTGGCAAGAAGAAAAGTGGAATTTATGAATGCTGTTTTACCTTAGGAGGGAGATTTGTCATGCATATTTGCAATTAGTACGAATGCGGTACTTTTACAGTTCATATGTCTGTGGGGGATCTGGAGCGGAAACGCGAAAAGGTGAAACAGTTGAAGGAGCTATCCTGTGCAAAAGTATCGTACTCGTATTGCAATCATGCATTACAAATTTCTTTCTCAAGTCAAATCCGCATTACAAATTTTATTTCTCATGCTGAGAAAATTTGTAATGCATTTATACGAGTACGATACTTTTGCAGTTCATAGGAGCAGCGGGACAGCAAATATCAAACGTAAATATGTCCTGGTCTGGAAGGATCCGAACTTGTGATGTGTGTTTCGGATCCTACAAAGATCTGTGATGCATAGCGTGCAAAAGGTGCCCACTCCTGGCCATGCTGAGAGGGCATTTCTCATGCAGAATACGCATCACCAAGGAGCTGCAGAACCTGTGATGCTAGGCCCTGCATTCCAGACGTCGGGGAGCTTGGAACAACTGCATGACCACAAATCTCGGAATCTCCCAGACCCAAACATATTTGCATCTGATAGCAAAGAATTCGAGACGATCATCCAGACGAAGGTGGACACAGAAGCGAAATTAAAAAAAGCGAAGCAGTACGACGCGGTGGAGCCCCGGACGCAACCGTACCGGAGCTACTACATCAACCAACTGCGGGAGAAGCATATGAAATGCAAAAGCATCGTACTAGTATAAATCGCATGACAAATCCCCTCAGCACGAAAAGTGGAATTTGTAATGCGGATTTAGGTTAAGAAGGAGATTTGTAATGCATGACTACGATTACTACGAGTACGATACTTTTGCACAGGATAAAGCAGCAGAAAGTAGACGAAAAAAGGGAAAAGGACAAGCAGCAAAGGGAGGAAAAGGAACTGAAAGAGTGTATCCTGAGTAAAAATGACCCCACACCAGAGTCAAGATGGGAAATCCGCTAGACAAATTAGCCACCCCTGGTTGTTTCGCATGACAAGTTTATCCTCGTAGCGTAGTCCTGTTTAGCTACTTCCGAAGCATTACAGATGTAGCGCGTCATGCTGATTCTAGCATCAGAAATTCCAAAACAGGATTAGATAGAAAATGGCTCTCTTGGGGCTTCGCATGAGAAACTTTTTTGGCATGCAGATTTGCATGACAACTCTGGGGTGGGGACATTTTTACTCAGGATAGAGTGCCGGTTCCAGCCAAAACTTGTCGCGGAAAACTACTTCAAGAAGTTGGTCAACAGCGGCGCGCACTACAACAGTAGTTCTAACTTGGGAGCAGGAGGTCCAGGTGGTGGTGGTAATTTGGGTCAACAGCAGCAACAGCCGTCGCGGAGTTTGTTTCTAAAACCACCCGCGATGCCCCCGAACGGTTCTGCAGCTGGTGCTGCCACGATGCTGCGGTCGTCAAAAGGCTCTTCTGTCACGAACAACATCGGAACGACAGACGCTGGCTCGTCTGCGGCGGGGGAGGTGATGCAGGAGGAGCATAACCGCGACTCAAGAGAAACTACTGCACCGTTCGTTATGGGAGGTGGAGCACAAAATAGCCATGCGGAGAGTGGAGGGGCGGCGAATGTTGGTACTGGTATGTCTTTACTGCTGTGCAAGTGCAGATTTTTGCGCTTTTTGAAAATGCAAGGAGAATCATGCATGGTCTGTGCATGATAAAGACATGAAAATTCTTCAACTTCAAATCAAGTTGTACGATACGAGATGAAAACAATTTACAGGGACTAGCAGCACCGCAAATAATCGCAGAAACGGTCCTCCCCCCATCGAAGGCGTCATGGGCTAGGCAAGACACTCGGATGGACGAGCTGGTACTAGTAAGGAGAAAAATGCACAACGATGAAGAAATTTGGTCTAGATAGAAGGCATCGATGTCGCAAAAATGAAAAGTTGAAAATCTTTTTGAAATAGCACAGATTCGTGGAGGAGCGGCATACAACGCTTGCCGCTGACAAGTCTAACCACACTGAACAAATAAAGAGATTATCGCGAAGCTAGAAGAAGAAGTCAACAAGAATCTGGTAAACCACACTGAACTTTTTCGCATTTTTTGTCGCCATAGAAAATTAGACGCAGAATTAGTCACGGAAAAAATGGCAGCACGCCCAGCGCTGCAGTGACTGACGATTGGAAGTAAAGAGATTGCGCAAAAACTTCTGGCCCATTTTGGGGGCGTTGAGAACAAAATCAAAATCGTAAAAAATTTGGACGAGCTGAATCTGTTGTACCTACAATGGGCTTGGTATTGTATTTCTGATAAATCCACTTGATAGTGCTGTGTCTTGGCAAGGCTGTGGCCACGCAAGTGGGAGCTTGTCCGCACTAGTAATGTATTTCCTGTTGTTCTCCAAGTCGTTGTCGTGATACCCATGCAGCTACAGATACAGTAACAGTGCTTGAGGTTTGTTTCGTACGTTCCTTCGCTAAAGGAGTACAAAACAATCGGTCGCTTCACACAGCAACATCGGTGTCTACTTCCGTCGTAGCTTTGGCGCTTTTTCCTCGCGTTTTCAGTGTACTTAAAAGCGCTGGACGCATCATCTGCATCAACCTGCTATGCCTACGTCGGTCTTGCGATAATAAAGATATCGTGCTCGTATCGGTATCGCGCAGTTTTCATCAGATCTACATCGTCTTGTTTCGGTACTACTCCGTACTTACGTGATGTCCTGCGGGTACAGTGTCGTGTCATCTGCTCTGTTTACAAAGGAAGCGTCCACCTCTTCGTGCAATGTCAATGTATCGTGTCTCCAACGAGAAGTCGTACAGCTAGTACCACGCTACCTTATTTGTCGTTCTCTCTCTTCGTAATCGTCTTGATGTAGAGGCGCGCAGCAGCAGATTATGATTACTTTTGCTCAACCACAGCAAATCCCCTTATTGAGAAATTCTACTCGCCCCAAATGCTAGTCTTATGTCATCAATCCCTTTCCCTATGTAGTCTTTCGTCTTTTGAATTTGAATTGACCCAAATTTTAAGTTTTAGAAGTACCCCATAAAAACTTTTTATCCCAGGAACACAATCAGGATGCTATGCAGAGCTTCAGTACGCAGACGCGGCGCTACAATAACGATCCTGAACCGCGCGGTGGAGCACCCGGCACACCCGTCCTGTTGAAGCGTCTCATAGCTCTTGCAGACATTTTGTAACCCGGAAAAACATCAATTTCGTATTAAAAAAAAATAAAATGCAAGCCCTCCTCGCGAAAATGTCTTCATCTGCCCCACCGGGACCGGGAGGGGACCAACCTGGCAGAAGAAGTAGCTCCACCCCGACCAATGCGTCGAAGAACAAGAAAGCCCTTGCGAAAGCGAAAGTCGAGGAGGAGTTTTTTAACAAGAAGTTTTGGTGCCCCCCAGACCTCGTCAAGGGCAGCATGGGATTCACCTTCAAGGATAGCACGATCACCAAGATCGAACCCGGGAAGTGGGCCGACAGCGCTGGGCTTAGAGTTGGGGACGAAATCGTGTTAATCGAGACCATACCAAGTGCAAAAATGTCTGGGTCTGGAAGAATGCAACTTGTGATGCTACATTTGGATTCCAAAAAAATCTGTATTGCGTGAGTAGCAAAGGGAATGCAATTTTTGCTACGCTGAGAAGGCATTTGTCATGCGCAATAGGCATCAAGAATCCCTCAAAAAACCTGTGATGCTAGGGCATGCATCACAGACATCATGCCTCATGAAAACCCCGCATGACAAGTCTCAGAATCTTCCAGACCAAGACATTTTTGCATTTGATAGACCACCTTCGTCGGAAAAGATCCGATCGTGGAAACGGTCACCCGCCCGTTGAGACATATGGGAGCGTCAGGTTTGAAATCGTCAAAGTTGAATATAATTTGTAATGCATAAAATGCATGACCCGAGGCACGTGCGTTGCCGAGCAGGCAAGTGAGGCCGATTGTAAGCCTGTTTGGGGTTACAGCTCGAGCTGCTAAAGTAGCATGAGAAAATCGCTCTTCTTTGCCTAAACAGCATGACAAACAGGACTTGGGGACCACCGACATTTGTCTTGCGCCACTTGGAAACTGGGTTCCAACTGGCATCCATTTTATGCATGACAAATTATTTCAACTTTGTCGATTTCAACTCTGACACATCCATAAGACACAGCAAAATGCTCTCGAAGTCAAGTACGGGGAGTAAGTCGTCTCTGGCGATAACAGATGGTAGTCCTAGTGCTAGTAGTCCTGGGGCGGCTGTCGTCCTTCCCGATCCGATGCGCAGTAGCCGGTCGGGCATATCTTCAAACATCCCGACAGGCCGCGGGTCGACTACTTCTTCCGACGAACAGCTGTCTTCCGGAGTGGAAACCGAGGAGGTGAAGTTCACGCAGTTTGAGTGTTTGTCCCAAACGGAGAAAATCATCCGCTTAAAGAACAAAAAAGGCGTCGGATTTGTCATTACCCGGAAAATCCACGAAACCGACTTAGAAGAAGCCGCGATCAACCTGCAGGCGGCGTTTCGCGGAAGGAAAGAAAGGTCCACTTCGGTCGCGGTGGCGAAGAAGCAACAGCTGTTCGCCAACCCCTTTCGGATCGAGCACCCACCTTTATCGGTTCCGTTCGCGCTGCACCGAAGCGTGGAGCGGAATTTGCACAAGCAGCCGCCGTTGCGATCGGTGTCCGAAACGCCGAGACAGCGGATGATGGAGTTCCGAACCACGCTGAAGAAAGTGGATGAGTTCGACAGATATAATTCGTCGGCGTCGGGTCGTGGAAATGGTAATGACTTCAGATACGGAGAAGCAGGAACACTATCAGGAGGTCCGTTCTTTTCGTCTCTTCGTGGTCCTCCTCCTCCGCAAAGAGTTGTTGTTCCTGAAGGGGAAGCAGGTGGCATGTACATGTTGGACAGCGGAGAGGATGAAGACGAGGATGCCAGCCGGCTTACCACCCCTCCCCCTCGAGGATCGACACCAAGAGGACAGACGCCAAGAAAGTCTTTGTCTTCCTCCAAAAACTCAACAGCAGACAATAAACCGGGGGCTGTTTCCTCAACTCTAACCTTGAACCTTCCCGCCACCAGCTATCGAACCAGCGCTGCTGTGCGGTCCAGAGGACCTGGTAGCAGCTCGCAACAGCAAGAGCCCCCGATTTTGGAAGACAAGATGCAGAACGCGTTTCTCAAATCGGACTTCTTCGGCCGCGGGCGGCCTTCCTCGATTATCCCGGGAAGCGGTGCCATTTACGACCGAGAAGATTCCGTCCGGCAAGTGGCCGCGGCGACCACCCGACACAGCCTGCTGATCGACAAAATCGGGTTCACCGCGCAGGACAGCAGCGGAAGGACTGTGCCCGTGGTTCCGCTTGGTGGATCAGTACCGCCCGTGCAGAAGTGCAGAATTTTGCCCCTTCCGCCCAAAAGCAAGACTTCGCCGAACTTGTTTGGTGACCCGAAGAAATTTGGGCAAGCTAATAGAGGAAATAATGCAGGGGTAATAGTCGGCTTGTCAGGCGACGCCGAGGACGAAGTTGATGTTGATATCGCAGCGCAGACTCCGGTCAATGGCGATCTTCAAACTGGCAAGATAAAAACTTTTTTCAACAATGTGAAGGAAAATTTCGCTTCGAAATTGCAGGATGTGAAGGAAAAGGTGCAGGAAAAAAGGCAAATTTCAAGAGAAAAATCCCAGGAAAGGAGGGAAATTCTGATGGAAAAGGTGGAGAAAACAAAAGAGATTGTGAAGGGGAACGTCGATCTGGTAAAGGAGAAGCTGAAAATTCCGCGCAAAGAACGGGGAAGGAAAAATAAGCATCCGAAAGAAGGACCAGTGACAGTTGAATCGGAGGGCGAGGACAGTCCGAGCGAGCCGTCAGAGGAAGACCTGGAGGCGGTCTTACGGCAGACGGAAACGGGAGGAGATTCAGTACAACTTCCTGGTGCTGCTTCTGCAAGCACGACTGCCGCTTCACCACAGTCAGGTTCCACAGCTGCAGGTCAGAACATCAAATTACCCTCGTCGTCATCTTCGACGACAGTAACGAGGACGACACCATCCGGCTACAACAACAATAACCCAGCTTCCTTACGACCCACTGGGTCGTCCTCGTTGCAACCGGTCGGCGGAAGGACTACAACTGAGGCTGCAGTAGATCCGCAACAAATTCGGGGCGGCGACACGACGAGGACTACAGGTACTAGTCCCTCCATGGCCAGTACGAAAATCTCAGAGAATAACCGGGGAACGAATTCCCGACGTCAGAACGCCTCTGCAGATGTTCTCTCAGTCCCTGCCCCCAACAACGACCCCCTCGGAGGCCTGGATAGCACCTACGCGAACGTGCAGGCTTTTGAAACTTCCCTGCACGCCCTGGAGGGCTTGGAAGAGCAGAAAGCCACCGCGCAGGCACTGCTGGGGTCTAAGATGATTCACGCGTTGACGGTGGCGCACCAGGGGGAAGATCTGTTTAACTTCAACAGCCTGGCAACCCGGACGCAAAAGAGCAAAAGGGAAGACGATAGCAGTGGGAGCGAGGATGAGTTTACAGAGCCAAAGAATAAGACGAAGACCGCTAAGATGGACGATTTTTTGGGCAAGGAAGGAACCGTGTTCATCGACAAACAGACAAGCCGAATCTCCCTGAACGCGCCCCACCCGGCGCAACATCAAAATCTTCAGAGCAACAAGTCTGTGAAGCACACTTCCCGGATTATCGACACCCAGTCCCCTTCCCAAGCCAGAATCACGGGGTTGAGCTCGCGGGACACCACCGCGGCGCAAGTGCTCCCGAGTTACACGGAAAGTCTACTTCCGGCGGATATGGTGGCGGAGTGGGAGGAGAACTTCGACTACGGGTATCCGCGGATCCAAGTCCCGCAGGCGGAATCGGATGAGTGGACTTTATCCTCCATGCTGCAGATCGTGAAGCACTGCCAAACCAGGCCGGAAATGCCGTTACACCCCTTGCTCGTCGTGCGGATGCTGGAAGACATCACGGAGAGCATGGACAAAAAGTACCCCACGCCCGTGAACTATTTACAGATCCCGCGGAACGTCGTGGATGAGGAAGTTGTTGGGGGGGATGGTATCATGAGCAGTACTAGTTACAACAATAACGATATCACCGTTGACTACGGGGCAAAAGATAACATTAACACGCTCCCTTCGTCCACCGCGAAAGCTTTCCATCACACCCCGTCTGCCGGTACAAATGCTTCTGGTTCGTCCGGCTCCATTTTGAACAGCATCCGGCAGAAAGCGCAACAGTCGTCGGACCAGAAACTCGCGGAGAAGGTTCGGAAAATCCGGAAGTCCCGGCTGCCCTCGGTTCTAGATTCCGACGCCATCTCCCGTCCGGGGCGCTTAATCGTCGTCGGGGACACGCACGGGCAGTTGACGGACGTGCTGTGGATTTTTTACAAAAACGGGCTACCCTCGCCCTCCAACGCTTATTTATTCAACGGCGACATCGCGGACCGCGGATTTTACGCGACCGAGATCTTTATGCTGGTGTACGGGTTCATGCTGTTATACCCCGAAGCGGTCCACATTAACCGCGGGAACCACGAGGATTTGAACATGAATTTAGACCCGAGGTGCGGCGGCTTTTACAAGGAGGTGATCCAGAAATACGGGCCGAATTTGGGCGAAATCGTGTTCAACACCTTTCTCAAAACCTACGCGATGCTTCCTTTAGCCACCGTGTTGGAGAAGAAGATTTTTGTCGTCCACGGCGGGTTGTCGAGAGTCCGTGAAGGGAATTTCGAACTACTACGATCGGCGATCGACAACCGGTCGATCTGCATGCCGGATTCCGTCCTGCAATCCGCGGACATGGCCTTCGTCGACGCGCTGTGGGCGGACCCGAGCGACAACCCGGGGATTTCCAAATCTTCCCGGGGGCCTTCGATGATTTACTTCGGGCCGGATGTGACGCGGCAGTTTTTGGAGGAAAACGGGTTTAAGCAAGTGATCCGGTCGCACCAACCGCCGAAGACGAAGGACGGCGTGAACTGGCACCATATGCATTGCAAATATGTCTGGGTCTGGAAACTTGTAATGCTAAAAGTGTAAGTGAATGATGGACGCACTGCAATACGCAGCTATGCATGACAGACTTTTTGGCTGCCATCTCTTACGTATTCCGTTTCCGCATGGCAAACTGCGTTTTTGCATGACAGGTAAAAGGGCTTTTTCGTGGCTAAGTATGCAGCACAGATTCTCGATCTCGAGTCATGCCAGACAAGCATGACAAATCTTGCATCCTTCCAGACCCAGACATATTTGCACTTGATACACCACGACGGCAAGCTAATCACGGTGTTTTCGGCGTCCAACTATTGCGGGTGGTACGGGAATCAGGGCGCCGTGCTGATCTTCACGCCGTATCAACAATCGAGAGCAAGCGCGCTCGTCGATGCCTTTCACGCACAGTATCAACCCCAAGCATTGTCCAGGAGCATCACGCCGATTAGTACTATCGCGAGGCCGCCAGCACCTCCTGGGCTCGTACAAGGTAGTCCACCTGGTGCTGGTACCACGACGACCAAGGTCGTTCAGCTGGGCGGCCCAAGCAAGTTAACACCGAAAATCGGAGGTCTCCAATTCCAGCCCAGTTTCGAAAATATCGGGAAGCCGTCTGTGGGGAGCAATAATTCCAAAACCTCCCAACGGTCGGCGGATAATTTTGCGCATGACCCGTATCGGAACAGCAGTGGTAGCGACATGACCGAGAACGACAATTGGGCCATGCCGGAGATGGAGGTTGTCCGTCATTTCTCGCCCACCTTTGAAGAGCTCCGAACCGTGGACATCTGCACAAACGACCTCCGCGGCATGCTGGATCTGCCGTCGTTTTTCCAGCACAAGATGAGACAAAACTTCGCGACGACGCAACTGGAAGTCTCTGCCCAACGCAAATTTCAGTCCCAGGGGTTGGCGGAGCGGTTGGATAGGCTGGTGTACGAAGTAAAATCGCGAATCGCTCGGTTGATTGTGGAGGAAAAACATTTCCTGTACAAAACCTTCGCGGAGTTCGAGCACGCAGCGTACCTGTCGAGAAATACGACGCAAATAACTGCGGGAACTTCATCCTCTTCTGGAGTTTTCGACTCAAATTTAGTCCAGGAATACAAGGTCAGCGAGGTAGACAAGGACGATATTACTTTAACTGCGGGGGGAGAAGAACCAGAACCAATCAGTGACCGTTTCCCAACGAAAAACCCAAGCGAAAGAACCATGTCGGCATCGAGAGGCGGCTCGAAGCCGCCGCTGAATAATTTCCTCGCCCCCCCTGGGTCCATCACGGTCGAGCAGTGGCAGCAGGGGCTTTCTTCCGTGATGGGCACGGATGAGGTGGCGGAGGGGATCCCCTGGGCGCAGTTGAAGCAGGTTTTGCAGGTGGAAAACCCCTTGACAAAAATGGTGGACTACCCCATCCTGTTGTCCCGGTTCCGGGTGCTGATGCGAGAGATGGAACAGAATTCGGCCGAGAAGGAAAACCCGTTTAGCTTTCAAGCAAGGCAGTCGCGGCGGACCTCCATGCGGATAGAACAAGAGGCGGGGGAACAAGAGGAGCTGCGTGCCTCGACCTCGGGTACTAACGCGATCTCAGTGAAGGACCGCATTTCCGGGTTTCTGTTTGGAAATAATAACAAAACCACCACCAAACCGGAGGGAGAGGCACAGACAAATGCGGACGCTGCCAGCAATAAGACCACCTCCGCCGGTAACCAGGCAGATTCCCCAGCGGACCGCAAGCGGAAGCGCCGTGAAATGCTGTTACATCAGTCAAGTTTAACGACAATGAGCAAGAATAACCTGATGCCCACCTCCGTGTTGACGAGAGCAGGCAGTAAAGATATGTCACGCGGCACCTCCGCTTCCCCATCAACCTCTGAGACCGAAGATGAGCAAAACCGGCGCACCAGCCGGGTGTTTACAGCCTCCCGACACCAGAAGTTCGGGGCCGACGGCAGCGGGGCGTCTTCTGTGGGAGGTCCACCTCCGTCGGACTCCAGACTGAGCAGCAATTACCCTCTCAACGCTATCGCTAGAAGTAGTAACCGGTTGACGAGTGTTGACAATAGAACCTCCGTCCTAGCCGTTGCAAACACGAAGGCGGAATGGCTGGAGACAATTTTGGCAAGGATGTTTGAGCAGTTGATGCTGGCAGACATCCCCTGGATGGAATTGGTTGCTGCGTTTTCCACCGGAGCGGAGGTGAATCAGGAGAGCATGTTGGTAACATTACCAGTTTTGCAACGGGTTCTGCAGCACGCAAGCCGGAAAACGAACACGGCGCCGGTTTTGTCGGAGCAGCAGGCCGGCGCGTTAATGCGGGTATTGTTGGAAACGAAGCGGAATGTTAATACCTACACAGGAGCTGGAGGTGCTGGTGACATCAATTCTGGCGAACAGCAGGGAACAGGCGACGAACGAGATTCTTATGTCGATAATTCGTCGAGCAAAAAATCTCCAAAACGGGCACACACGTCTGCAAACTTGATCCAGATCGGCGGCAAAGGAACTACAGGGTCGAAAGACAGCAACAATAAACCGACTTCCAAGAGCCCCTCTAAGGGTGCGAGGAGAGCCGACGAAGAGGATGACGATGATAGAAATAGTACACCCGCCGCCTATGGTCCGAAAGCGAGGAAGAAAGCAAACACCAAAGGCACGGTTATGAGCTCCCTTCCGTCGAAGGGCACGACGACCCCGACCAGGCCCGGAGGCACGCCAAACGAAATGAGAAGGACGAAATTGCTGAACCAAGGAATTACACAGCTCACCAAACAGCCTGCCGTCGTAGTCGGCCTCCCTTTAGCCGAGTTCCTACAACGGTTAGAGCAGTGCTACACGGGCTATAACGCATCCCGGCTGCACCAACACACCGGTACGGAAAGCGACTTGCGGGCGGAGCGGGCGTTGTCTTTAAAGTTCGGAAACTCCGCGATGGCGACGCTGTTGCGGCTGGTCGGACGGGAGTTGCGGTACAGCCGGAAATCGACGTTTGACTTATTCCGGGAAGCCGACGTGTCGAGAACGGGGTATCTGAGCAAGGAAGAATTCACCAACGCGGTGCAGAAGTTGCTAAAGTCGGCTTTGAAAGGGCAGGATCATGCGGCAACCGGTAGCTCGCGTTCCCGAGTTTCCAATGGCAGCTCGGCGTCCTCGGCGGCAGTCGGGTGGACTATGTTGCAGCAACACGGAATCACCGAGCAACTGGTGGATGAGCTTTACACCGCGGTGGATTTGGGAGGGCAGAACCGCGTGAACTACTTGGAGTTTTTGTACTGTTTCTCCACTGTCGGCGGCGGGGAGGTGATCCGGTCCAGGGGGCGGAATAAGAGCAGCCACAGACTTAGCAATAATTTTCCCTTGATAGCAAATGCAAATTCAGCTAGTAATGTCAGTACCTCCATCGGAGCAGGTGGACATAGCAGGAGTAAAGCCGTACCCGGGGGCGCAGCAGGTGGAAGTTTCTCTGCACCACTATCCACCGGGCCGTCGGGCGACGCGATAATCCCAGCACTCGGGGACCTCCACAGTACCCCGAACCGGGGCCACAGCCGAGACAGTTTTGAGGAGTCGGATCCGCTACAGGAGGCGATAGAAGATCAAATTTACAGCGTCCTGTATAGCAACAAACAGTCATTACTGCAGGTTTTCCAGTTCTTCCAGTACTCCGCTAGTAACCACGCCATAAGGAGCAACGACAAAAATGCATCAACGAGGGATAGCAATAGAGCACAAAATAGGACAACCGCGACAGTAGGAGCAGCTGCAGCACCAACCAGCCCGACGAGAATCCGCGCGATACATTTCGTCAAATCCTTGAAGGCTTTAAACCTCGCGTTGAGTCTGAATAACCCACCGTTAACCAACGAACAGATACAGAGGATAGCCGATCACTTTGAGGATAGTGCAACAAATACTATAGACTATCAGGTGTTTCTAGACTCATTAGTCGTCGTAGACCTGCTAACCGGAGAATTTTTTGACTAATAATGGCTCCAAATGAACTAGAAAATTTCTATCCCCTAATTTTTGAAGTATCTATAATCTGCTAGAGTTAGAAGAAGAGAACTCCCCCTTGTAGTTGTACGTACTTTAGCCCTAACGTATTTGAAAAAGAGAAAGTGACGCTGTGAGACCTAGAAATCAATGGACTCCGCTCGGGCAGGGTCGTTTAAGGTTTCCCGGGAAACCTTCGGTTTAGCTCGTGCCAAAGTGTGTTGCAATGCAACCGAAAACGCGGCGCGCGCATGGACTCCGCTGCTGTTTGTGTGCACAACCGCGCCGCGTCTGTGTTGGCGTCTCGTGTGCCCAAATC